AGTGGATGATAGTGCCCGAGGGGAGCGACTGAGGTGAAAATTGTACAGTAGGAGATACACAATGCACAGCAAATTGTGGGCTGGATAATAGGGCCTGTTGGTACCTGCCTCAATGTATTTATTGAGGGACTTGCCAAAGAGAAGCTCACCCTCGAAGGACATGTGCAAAAGGCATCTTTTCCACACCAGTTCAGTTGCTCAGGCTTTAAGCTGCACATATACACAGAAATGAAAGACATTCTGGAGATATTATAGATCAGGTTCTCCATGGCATCTACACAGAATATTTAGACCAAAGGAAAAAGTTGTAACTTCTCATAATTTCTGTGGCCCAGGTAGTCATACTTTGGGCTATCGCTAAGGTGACTGTGGCCAGGTGTAGGGCAGGGCCTGCTAGCACAAAGGAAGTTTTTATAAGAATCTCCAAACACCTCTTCACTGATTCTTTAAAAAATGACATCCTTATTAGAGATGGTAGATTTAGCATTTAGCTCAAGAATGGCTGGGGCCACAGAATGGACAATTTTTTAAATAAAATTCTGTATCCATAGGATACAAGGCTTCAATATTTTAGGGAAGGGATACCCTCTATGAGTTTGCCCAGTCATTGTATAAGGATCAACTTGCCTGAACCAGAGTAGGAGGGACTTCCTACAGAAGGCTCTCAAAGAAAATGGGGGCTGTATAGCGCTAGTTGTATTTACCCAAAAACTAGCACTAGGTGTATCAATGAATCCACAGAAACCAACAAACAGAGAGAGGGTAGGAAAGACATTTTCTTAAATAGCAGAAAAAAAAAATAAATATCAGGGTAGAAAGTCTGCATCCTCTTTCAATTGTGCCACAGCAAGTGTGTCAGATAACTCTTTGTTGGGAAGAACTATAATCAGACGGAGGCAAGACAGTAGAACTCTTGCTGTTAATAGCCCATGATTTCAGAAGCAGCAATAGCTTCTGCAATAAGTAAGACATAAGTTAGCTGCTGTGAATTCAGTCTCTCACTATTGAGGTTCCTGCTCCTAAACACCTGTAATCCTCCATTGCTAAGGGAGGGTCTTTCCCTGTGGAGTACTCACAGAATGTATGTGGATTAAAGGGGTTCAGGGTGTCCAATATGAGGGAGCCACAGTAACCCAGGTGCTAATGAAATTTCTAAGGATGGATCCTTTCAAAGCTGGATAACAGGTGGTGTGGCAAATGATCAGCTTGCATTGCGGGCAGGAAATTAAGGCCAGAAGTGTGCAGCTAAGTGTGTGAAAAAACGCAGTAAATCGCAGCACACCAGCATTTTTGGTAAAAAAAAAAACCCTCTAAAAACCATAAATGTGAAAAAACACCACTAAACACTAATACAAAAACACTAAAAAAAAAAAAAAAAAAAAAAAAAAAACCCATTAAAAACTCACGTTTTTAACATGACATTATACAGCCAACGTTACCAGCGTTATTAAAATGCCCAGTGTGCATGGAGCTTAAGCTAGCATAACTTTTTTAACCCTTTCCCACTCTGAAACGAATAAGACAAGAATGGCTGGAGTTCAGCATCAATTTTCTTTTTTTTTTTATCCTATGTTAAGGTTGAGTTGCATAGGTATAAATTAACCATTGATTAAAAAAAAAATCACTCACTACCCCCTATGCAAAGTGTACGGGTAAATTGGGTTTTGGATTTTAACAGTTCCTGACATTCATACAAGCTTTCATTTTAACCAACAAAATTGTGTACAACAAATACTAACATTTCAAGGTAAGGAAAAACTATGAGAAAATATATACTGTGTGTCAATATCGGACCTTTATTTTATGTTAGGTAACATGACGTATTGCCTTATCTGTTAATATACCAAATGTAGAATCAAAATCAAGCAATTACCTGGTTTCCCAGTTGCAAATTTCATTCAACCAGACTTGGCATTATCTCCACTAAAAATTACAGAGACGGTACAAGAAAAGACACTTCAGCAGCTTTTTAATTGTCAAACACTTTACTTTGAGGACACTTGTGCAGTATTTTTCATTGGGTTATGAAGATACTACTTTATCAGTAGAAACCTGTCAGGGAGACTTGTCAGTGGTCCTTTCCATCTTGTATTTTACAAAGAACTGCATACTTCATTGTACTGTAACCAGGCAAAGGGAATTAAATGTTCTGGTACCTTTTCAGTAATGTTAGGCTGCTGCTGTATTTTGCAGCTCAGCTACTTGCAAGATGCAGTACTTCAGAGATATTCCAACAAGCTGGAAAATCTCTGGTGTATTAACTTATGCTACCATGGTGTCTCTCTCCTCCCCCCCAACCCACCCCACCTCCCAAGTCACCCAAAAGCCACATCAAGCAGTATTTGACCACTCCTTAGACATGCCTTCTGTTAATCTGAAAATCAAGCACCAGTACATACAATTGAAGATAATCTTGTACTATGCACTCCTACAGATACAGAGCATAAAAAGGTATAATACCCATTTTAACTTCTGGATGTGAAAACCTCGCCTTTTTTTTTTTTTTTTTTTTTTTAAACTATCCCCCTAGTTGATCTCCAAAGCAATATACTGAGAAATTTGACTTTTGACAATGCCCTGACAATTAGGACCAAAGATGGGGAATATTCTCCCTGAGATCAGAAACAGCCATAAACACATAGTAGGGGATCAAACTCTTTTCTACACTAAGAATTATATTGAGGGGGAAAAGTTCCATTTTAGAACAGCTTAGATTCTGTCAAATGTTTTGTGTTGTAGATGAAAGTATGTTACCAAATTGTACTCTTAATAAAATAAATTGCACGCTGGGTTTCTTGCACAGAAACCAGAGTACACAAAACATTCCAAATAACAAAAAAAATTATGGTAAAAGAAAAAAAAAAAAGTTTACAAATTCTGTCCAAAAGAACAGCTGTGTTGATATTCAGTTTACCTAACAAAATCAGCATCTTAAACATTAGCTACTTAGAACATAAGTATTTGGTCCTCAAAAACAAACTGCAAGAACATAATCTTTATGCAGCCCACTGAAAGATTATTCTTTCAACTGTAAAGAAAAGCTAAACGATTTGGGTACTTTAACAGACCATTTAAGGAACGCATAGAAATTGGTTGACCATCTTCTAAATAAGCAGAGCAGGGCAATGATCAGACCTTAGCAGGAGACAAAAAGTTTGAATTGGATCTGCTGATAGTCCCTACAGCTAGATAGCACTAGAGTTACTGGATTTACTAAAGGATATAGGCTGTTAACCTAACAAAGCATATGCTATTTTACAAAGTAAATGTTAGTGAGTCTTTGTTCACTCTGAACACCCAATTATGTGATGGAAAAAAAAAAAAAGAATAAAACAAAAGAACACTAAATTTTTGCTTGCACATAACTGGGTATTCAAAATGAACACAGCTTCAAACTTGATCATTTACATTTAATGTGTAAAATGAACAGTTACTATGCTATGTAAACAACCTCTAGTCCTTCAGTACATGAACACCATTGTTTCTCAATAACTTGACTGCAGTCTGAAGTCTATGACTATCTTTAGCCCACCACACAAGAAAAACCGAATCTGTAGCCAGAATGGATGCAACAACTTGTTCATCAGTAACTCATCCCTAATTCCCTTCCACAGATTTTATTAGGGAATGCAACATACACTGTATCAATGGAGTACATATGAACTATATACCGAATAAAAGGACTGATCAAGGTTTTCTAAAATCACTATGGTGTGGACATTTTATGGTATTTGATCCCTTGCATAATATGAGCTGCTCAAAACAAATATGTAAACAAATCTAAATGCAAATGCCTTTATGTGCTGAACAGTCCACAGAACTGGAAAATGTGGAATGCAGCTATCAGAGTCATTGAGCAAACTGACCAGATGAAATCTATAAAGGTGACCAAACAGCAGCATATGGGCCCACAATTTGCTACATGTCAAACTGCAGTGGGCCATCTGCAATACATGAACTTTGGTAAAATGACCATGCAGAATAAATCAAGATGATGTCTGGTAAGTATTTACTATATATATGTTCTACAAAAACAAATATGGACATGCCATTGAGAGAACTGCTGCTGCCTATACATGCTGCAATTTACAGAATTAAAATATTACTGCACAATTAAACAGATGACATCACTACTTGATTTCCTTTGCTTAAACGCTTTTACACAGAGTGAATGGCAAAGAGTATTGCTAATATTCTGTGCTTAAGGATCTCATATTCAACAATAAATATGGTGGGATTCACTGCAATTCATTGTTAAACTGCAAAACTGGGATTTAAGTGCCTGGTTCCAGTCAATGGACTCTACAGACTGATTAACCAATTACATGTTTCCTTATACTCTATGATATGCTGGAATTGTATGCTGCCGAAACAAAAAAATATTAGTGTAGAATAAACCGTGTCTACTGCCTTTCACTATGCTGCTTTTGGGACATACTTAGAAATAGAAATCCCCAAATTCCCATTACAAGTCCTTTCAATAACAGAGCAGAATTATTGCACCGAAAGAGTGTTATGTCATTCACCACCAGAGTTTCATTTGTAAACATAACCTGCCTTGCCAAAGACACAGCGGGCCATCACTACACTTACAAAAAACAGGTTACGAGCCAAACTGGACGGGTTAAGAAGAAGGCTGTTGCCAGCAGCTATCATGCTGTTGCGTATGCTTAGTATACTTACAAAGCATTTTATTTTGTTTTTACGTTCCCAAAAATAAGATGAGAGACAAAACAACAGACTTTTATTAATGGAGAGACAGCTCTGTTTAGTCAGACAAAGCGACTTGTTTCATTAGTGTTCCCACTGGAAAGGTTCCTTGCCTCCTTGCTCTCAAGACTCCAACCTGCATAGATTTATTCCCTTATACAGTGCTCTCATTTCACATACCACATCCCCTCATCTGGGATAAGAGTTAAATAATAATTAATGTTACTAGAAAGATGAGTTTTAAAAATAAAAACTCAGTTGCAGCTTCAGATCCTTGTGATACGGAGAGGTCATGTTTCAGGAAGCTGATTAATGTCTGTCAGTTTTGTGTCATTCAGAATAGCTCGAATGGCATCCAAGGACTCAGTCTGCCGAATACGCTCCAGCTGCACCTGAAAGGAAACAGCGACCAAACGAAATGGTTAATGCGACAATCTAGAGGAAAAAAGGGTACATGTTAAAAGGAAACTGGACATGTCACAACAAGAAAGAAGTCTGTGCTAGTTATATGGGCTAACATAAAGGGTCTGTGTTTACAGGCTGTGCTCTTGTGTTGATGGTATCAGTTGTTCCTGAGATCGTTCAGAAATTGACACACACAAAAGCCCATCAGTGTAGGCCCTAAAACTCAGTAAGTGACTACATTTAAAAGTGAAACGGTGCCTGTGACCAGAGGGTCCACCACTGCATAGCACTGCTGAGAAAATTAGAAGGGAAAAACCTATACTATACTCACAGCACACCTAATGGAAACATGAACAAGGAGACACACAGGGGGGCTGCCATTGTTGGCAATCTTCTGGAAATTCTAGCTGCATGGACGTTTTTGGCTTTAGTATTTATTGAGAAACTGACAAAACAAACATGCAAAAGTCCATAACTCTACATGTGTTCATTTCTTCTAGGTCTGTAACTTAATGGACTAAAACCATTGGATCAATACAACTTGCAATTGCAGAAGGGGAAGGTCAGCAATGATTGCAACTATATTTGCAAAGTGGAAGTCTTCTTTAACCAACTGCCTACTGAGCACTTTCACCCCCTTTCTGCTCAGGCCAATTTTCAACTTTCAGCGCTGTTGCACTTTGAATGACAATTGCGCGGTTATGCAACACTGTACCCATATTTAATTTTTATCTTTATTTTGAGACAGATAGAGCTTTCTTTTGGTGGTATTTAACCACTTGCCTACCGGGCACCCATACCCCTTTCTTTACCAGGCCAATTTTCAGCTTTCAGCGCTGTCGCACTTTGATTGACAACTGCGCGGTCATGCAAGATTGTACCCATATGAAATTTTTATAATTTTTTTCTCACAAAATAGAGCTTTCTTTTGGTGGTATTTAATAGCCGCTGGGCACTTTAATTTTTGCGCTATAAACAAAAGAAGTGCAAAACATTTGAAAAAAAAAAAATGTTTCTTTGTTTCTATTATAAAATTTTTCAAACAGGTAATTTTTCTCCTTCACTGATGTGCGTTGATGAGGCAGCACTGATGGGCACTGAAAGGCAGCACTGCAGGGCACTGATAGGCAGCACTAATGAGGTGGCATGGATAGGCAGCACTAATGAGGTGTCACGGATAGGCGGCACTGATGATGGGTACTGATAGACAGCACTGATAGGTGGCACTGACTGGCATCACTGCTAGGCATTGACTGGCGCAACTGCTGGGCACTGACTGGCAGAACCGCTGGGCACTGACTGGCGGCACTGACTGGCAACACTGCATTGATGGGCACTGGGTGGGCACAGGTGGGTGGCATTGCTGGGCACAGGTGGGTGGAACTGGTGGGTGGCACTGCTGGGCACCGATCATCAGGGCACTGATCATCAGTGCCCTGATGATCGGTGCCGATCCCAGCTTTGACAACTACCGGTTCTCGGCAGTACTTTCCTCGCGCTCTGACAGCGTGAGGAAAGTGCAGCCGAGAACCGGCAATTGCATTTCCCGGAGATCAGTGTGTCATTGGACACGGCTGATCACATGGTAAAAGGCCGCTGTGATTGGCCTTTTACCACATCGCATGATCAGCTGTGTCCATAGGACACAGCGATCACGGAGATCACTGGGGGCGCGCAGGAGAGCGCGTTCTGGGAGGACGTCATAGGACGCCCTCCCAGAACTGGCCGTCCACAGTGTAGCTGTCATTCGGCTACCTGCGGTTGGCAAGTAGTTAATTACTACTGGGTTTTTTTATTTTTTGATAAACAAATCAAAAACTGAAAATTTAGAAGAAAAAAAAAGGTTTCTGTTACAAAATTTTGTAAATGAGTCATTTTTCTCCTTCACTGATGTGCGCTAATGGGGCTGCTGTGATGGGTATTGACAGGCATCACTAGTGGGCATTCACAGACATTACTGATGGGCACTGAAAGGCAGTACTCATATGGCACTGATAGGCGGCACTGATATGTGGCATTGATGTGCACTGACAGGTGGCACTGATGGGGCTACACGGATCATCAGGGCACTGATAATCAGTGCCCTGATGATCAGTGTAGATGTCCCCTCTGAGGAATGCCGATTACCGGTTCTCCTCTCAAGCTGTCAGCGTGACAACTTGTGAGGAGAGAAATGCTGATAAGAGGCATTTCCTTATTTACATGTGATCAGCTGTAGGATCACAGCGTCAGGAGGGGGACGGTTACTCTTTTCAACATTTGTCAAGGATTTTTAGTTGGATTGAGGTCTGACCTTTGACTGGATGATGATATGACTTTCACTTTAGCAGCTTTTAGTAGTCTATAAAAAAAATAAACCACATTTTATTGTAGATGTTTGATTCACCTGCAATGTTTGGGATAACTTCACAAAATCTCTCTGCACTTGCTCACTGACATCCAATTCTGTCTGCAGCCTCTGTGCCTTGTTCTTTTCTTCAAATAAAAGCTGTTCCAGGCTAGTCTGAAAATAGAGCTATAGTGTTAGTATTCACAAATACGTCTAGCATTACAGCCAAACAGCTGTTTCAGATCAATTTTCCTGCCAACGCAATAACAAAAGTACAGGATTTGCAAAATAACAGCGAAGAAAAGTGCAAAAAAGAAAGCAGCATACATTTAGCAAGGCATTAAAAAGGTAACAGTGGTTAACTATTAGGACAAAGTTCTTTACAATAACTAACTATATGGCCCTGCCTACACATCTTGCGCATATCAGACAGAAAAAGGTACCAGTATCAAGCAGCTATGTATAAAGTACTTGTGCAGGATATATATATATATATAAAAAAAAAAAAACTCTTCAGTGCTCTAGTTCATTCCAGGAACAAAAGTGCACTATGACTATATCCATAAGATGGCGCTGCTCACTTGGTAGCACAATGCTGGTGTTAGTCTGGACTTCTATCATCTAAAATGTATGTCGGGATGCCCAGTATGTACAACAAAAAAAGATTATACGATCAGTAAATTACACGACCATAATCACGTATAACAGTTTTATGTGCCACAATCCCTCTTTTCCAGACAAACTGAACAGGCTAGTCCATTACGTGAGATTAGTACAAATAAGAGTGCAAGCAAAGCACAGATAGGAAGACCCACACTTCAGAAGTAGCTGATAAAGACCACACATAAGGTGGAGTACAGACAGCAAGTCCCTTTGCAGCAAACGGCAATCATGCAAAGTGGCAAGCTAGTCAAAGCATTCATAGGCCAGGAAAACTTTAGGAGTGTGGCATCCAGCGGGGTCAGATCATGGGTTCCTGATCCCTGATGACATCAATTGCTACAAAACGAGTCAGTTGGAGCATACAATCTGACGTCATTAGTGACACCCTGGGGCGTGGCCTGAACACGTTAACGTTCCCATGCACATCAGCTATGTCAATTCATGCTGTACCATTGCCCCCTTGTTATACTGAGGAATGCTGTTTATATTAACTTAAAATTTGAGTGCTTTTAAAATTTTTATAAAACACATTTGCCCTATGATATTATACTATTGCAGTGTTTTTGGATTTATATGTGGGTACTACTGAGTGTGTGCTATACATCAACTGAAGAAGCCAGTCGAACCTTCTTGGATGGGCTAGGTATGCATGCTTACCATGACCATTCTATATTTGGGGGTCATGGAGGTCCAAGAGTTTTTCCTTAATCCCTTCGTGCTGGCGCCTCCCGGCCCTTTAAGGGTTTCAGAAGTCAGGAGGCGGGGCGAGGTTTAGGGTCATGTGACACGCCATCACATGATTGGGAAAGGTCCCGATCGAAAGAGGAGAGCGGGACCTTTCCGTGAGTACCGGACATGTGTGCTGGGAGTGCGCAGGGCGCACTCTCAGCACGTCTTTTTTTAATAGAACGCAAATGTGTGGCCGGCGTGAAGAGGTTAAAGGCACAGTGGATTTGAAAATAGAGAATGCAGTGCTAGTGTTAGAGCACATAGGATTAAGAGACTTTATGTAACGTTCCTTCATAGGGGACTGGACTTTCACTTGATATGAACGTTATTTTTTCACTTTGATTAGCACATTTCATTGTGGAATGTTTTAATAGTTTTTGATCCATATAAATTATTTGATCACTCTCACATATATAAAGTTTGTTAAGAAATGACAAATACAGTATAGGTATATCTAAGCACTGTTGGTTTGGGGATTTAGCAGTACCTTTATTTTGAGAGCATGTAAATGTTCTACACCTATTATTCAGTTATAATACATTATTCAACTTTAGTCAAAGCTGCACAGTTTGCTTTGTTTTTTTTATCTACAGAGGCCCCTTATCTGCATGGTAGTATGCATTCAAACAGTATTTTGTCCAGAGCTTGTGCGAAAGCCAGGCTGTTTCTGAATTTCTGGTTTGCTCCCACAAACAGGATAAATGGATACTATCCAAATGGTAAAGTTATTTTTTGTTTTTCTTGCTTATTATTTTTTGGCAAATAGCTAATATTTCTGTGTGTCATTTTCATTCTTGTCTCTTGTATTTTTACGTCTGTACATACTTCTATGCACTGCCGGCCTAGGGATAATAAATATAATTCATAAATTGGCCTTAAGCATATAATTCACATCTAGAAGGACCGTCATATTATTGGTACCTGTACATGGTTGTAAATTCACTGGTAATTTAATCTGTGTGAGATTGTAACTGTCCTGAATCATGCATATGTGTGTATGGCGGGAAAAGTGTGTGTAAGGACTGATACATTTATGGCCGGATTAAGACTTTTGTACAGGGTTTGTCTCACATGACTCCCGTTGAATGCATTTCCGTGAGATTTGAAGCATCAGGGAGATTCCTCTTTCCACTGTCAATTATAAGGTTGTGTTCCTTGTTGTCACCACCTCTACAGGGCGAATATCTGAGCATATGGTTTTATCCTCAGAGCCCATTCTGGTCTTGCACAGGGACAAGGTGGTGCTGCTAAGGGCAAAGCGAAGGGCCGCATCCAACCCTTGGGCCGTAGTTTGGAGACCACTGTGCTAGATAAATGCCCATTCCTTTTCTGTCTTGTCTTGAAAGCTTTGTGATAACCTTATGATGAGGGGAAGCTACAAGAAATTTGTCAGATCTGCTCTAATTTTAAGGACAATGAATCTCTAAGTAAGGACTATTGAATAAAAGGACCTATTGGATGCTGTATAGTGTGGGTTTTTTTTTTGTCATATTTGTTATAGAACACTATAAAAATGTAAAAGAAATTCAATATATAGTCATGTTTGGTTCTGGAATGAAGTTTGGCTTGGGTATTAATGGGGCCTAGCATGTAATGCCAAAGCCAGAACAGCTGCCCCTAACAGCCAGTTTTACAGTATAGAAAGTTGGTTGGGGTCAAGAAGCCATATTTGTGTATTTTCCTGAAACACATTTTAATAATTTTTTGTGGTTACACATTTTGATTCACAAATATATGCTGCCCTTACCTTGCTGGATGTCTCTTTTCTAAGTTGGTCCTCCAAGGAATTTCTGAATTCTTGAATATTCTGCAGTTCTTTTGTCTTTTCTTGTAAGGTAGACTCTAGCTGCATTGGCAGAAATAACAGCTTTTACACCTCTGTGATACGACTATGCCCACAAGTGTATGGTTCAACAGCACTGAACAAAATAGGCCATGGCTGGGCTTATGCAGGAATATGAACACTCTGATGAACTACAACTGAGCAAATTACTTACTAACGTTTCCCCCTTAACGCATCCTGTCCTTTTAAGAGGTTTCTGACGCCAGGGCGGCGGGGTGAGTTTAGGGTCATGTGAACACTGCGATTGGCTGTCACATGATCGGAAAGGTCCAGATCGCAAGTAGTGATCGGGACCTTTCCATGAAGCGCCGGCAAACATGCCGGGAAAGCGCAGGGCGCACGCTCTTTGCACAAGTTTGTTTACTTTTGGTATGAAAATATGCGGCCGCTCAGCATCAAGGCCCAGCCACCAAAAGGCCACATATTTGCATACCGTCAGTACCAACAGGTTAAAGAGGAACTGCAGGTAGCAGTATTGTATGTTTTACAATAAACCTATATCTCTTCCTCTCTAAGGCCCATATCACACTAGGGATTTTGCTGCTGGCAGCATCTCAGCAGCGACAGCATCACTAATAGTCCACTCACCTGCTCCTATGGCATGGTACCTCTTTCCACTTACTGTTCCGTTCTGCTGAATAAGTCGGACTTAGATGGTACAGAGGACACAACACTTATATTAAAAGTTTACAAAACTTTTCTAAACAAACGTTCTTCTAAATCCAAAGAGGATCAAACAGATCTTAAAAACATTGTAGTCTACCTTACATCAAATACTGCTCTAACAGAAAAATCTGCACGCTATGATCCACAATCTAGACCTATATTATTTGATTTACAAAATATGTGAACAATAACATGGTCTCATTGGTGGTGGGTCCTCTTAAGTCAATGTATTTCAAGTCAATGCTTCTTCAGGACAAAATAAGGACTAAGCGATGAGATAACATTTACTAAATACAGAAAAAGACTATTAACCACTTGCCCTCCTGAGGATTTACCCCCCCCTTCCTGACAAGGCCATTTTTTGCATTACGGCGCTGCATTCCTTTAACTGACAACTGCACGATCATGCAACGCTGCACCTAAATTAAATTTCCGTCCCTTTTTTCCCACAAATTGAGCTTTCTTTCGGTGGTATTTGAGCGCCTGTGCGTTTATTTTTGCGCTATAAATAAAAAGACCGACAATTTTGAGGAAAAAAAAAATATTTTTTACTTTTTGCTAATAAACATGACCAGTAAAAAATTTTACAAAAATCAAATTTCATCATAAATTTAGGCCAAATTGTGTTCTGCTACATGTCTTTGCTAAGAAAAAATCCCAATATGTGTAAAATAATTGGTTTACATGAAAGTTATAGCATTTACAAAATGGTGGTATAGATACTGGAATTTTTAATTTTTTACTAATAATGTCAGTGAGCAGCAACTTATAGTGGGACTGCAGTGGGCATTCAGACACTGTGGGGGAACTGACTTGGTGTCACTGACATCCACAATGACACCAATGCAGTGATCAGTGCTAAAAAAAAAAACAAAAAAAAACACTGACATTGTACTAATGGCACTGGGCAGGAAGGGGTTAACATGAGGGGCAATCAAAGGGTTGTGTGCTGGGAGTGTTTTACTGTGGAGGTGGTGTGTTGGTGCTTCACTGTAAGCACACTGCTCTGGATGGCTGTGCTGTGCACAGCCATCCAAAGCAGTGTGCCTGAGCCGACAGAGAGAACTGTTAGTAAACAAAGCAGCCCTCCTCCCCATCGGAGATCCTCTGTAAATCACTGGGCGCCAGGGGGGTAATCACTGGCAAGGACTCGGTGATTGATAGCTGCGGCCGCCCCCTACCCAAAAATGCAAAATCACGTATATATACACACGTGATTTTGCACACCCTGCCGCCCTGTAGCAGTATATCTATATATGCTACAGGGTGGCAGGGAAGTGGTTAAAACATGTTTACAATCAAAGTTATTAAATAGATCATATTTAGTGCAAATTGTAATCAACTATGATGAAGTGCCATTAGTCCTCTGTTTCACTGTCTTCACTGCCCAAGTTTCCTCCACAAGGATGGCTCCTGATCAGCCACTGCAGCCACATTTAAAAGGTACAAACATGTTACATGTATTGGCACGTTTGCATTTTCCCTAAATGTGAATATTTAATTATAATTTGCACTAAACATGATCTATTTAATAATTTTGAAATATGTATTAATAGACTCTCTTTTCTGTGTTTAGTAAATGTTGTTACCTCGTTGCTTGGTCCTCAGTTGTCCTGAAGAAGCTATATGAGAAACTTGTTTACTTAAGAGGATTCATCACCACAAGGCAATGTCAGTGTTCACATAACTTGGTAACGGAAAGAAAAATAGGCCTATATTGTGGATGATAGCTAGCAGTTATTTCAGTTAGTAAAAGGAGTAATCAACATAAGGTAGCCTACGATGATTTTAGGATGAATTTGACCCACTTTGGATGTTAAAAGAATGATTGTTTGGAAAAAAGTTTTGTTAAAATCGTTTAATATAAGTGTGGCCTCATTTGTACCAGTAAAGTCAGACTTACTCTCTAATTGATTTATATGACGTAATGGATATGGTACTAATGTGGTCTTTTCATTTACCTATATGTTACATTGCACCTTAAAATCTTTAAAAAAAAACTTTTTTTTACTCTTGAAAAAAAAAAAAGTGGCGGGACAAAGTCAGCAGCCACCTGATCTCCACTTACAGTCAGGTCCATAAATATTGGGACATCGACACAATTCTAACATTTTTGGCTCTATACACCACCACAATGGATTTGAAATGAAACGACCAAGATGTGCTTTAACTGCTGACTGTCAGCTTTAATTTGAGGGTATCTGCATCCAAATCAGGTGAACGTTGTAGGAATTACAACAGTTTGCATATGTGCCTCCCACTTGTTAAGGGACCAAAAGTAATGGGACAGAATAATCATCATAAATCAAACTTTCACTTTTTAATACTTGGTTGCAAATCCTTTGCAGTCAATTACAGCCTGAAGTCTGGAACGCATAGACATCACCAGATGCTGGGTTTCATCCCTGGTGATGCTCTGCCAGGCCTCTACTGCAACTGTCTTCAGTTCCTGCTTGTTCTTGGGGCATTTTCCCTTCAGTTTTGTCTTCAGCAAGTGAAATGCATGCTCAATCGGATTCAGGTCAGGTGATTGACTTGGCCATTGCATAACATTCCACTTCTTTCCCTTAAAAAAACTCTTTGGTTGCTTTTGCAGTATGCTTTGGGTCATTGTCCATCTGCACTGTGAAGAGGCGTCCAATGAGTTCTGAAGCATTTGGCTGAATATGAGCAGATAATATTGCCCGAAACACTTCAGAATTCATCCTGCTGCTTTTGTCAGCAGTCACATCATCAATAAATACAAAAGAACCAGTTCCATTGGCAGCCATACATGCCCACACCATGACACTACCACCACCATGCTTCACTGATGAGGTGGTATGCTGAGGATCATGAGCAGTTCCTTTCCTTCTCCATACTCTTCTCTTCCCATCACTCTGGTACAAGTTGATCTTGGTCTCATCTGTCCATAGGATGTTGTTCCAGAACTGTGAAGGCTTTTTTAGATGTCGTTTGGTAAACTCTAATCTGGCCTTCCTGTTTTTGAGGCTCACCAATAGTTTACATCTTGTGGTGAACCCTCTGTATTCACTCTGGTGAAGTCTTCTCTTGATTGTTGACTTTGACACACATACACCTACCTCCTGGAGAGTGTTCTTGATCTGGCCAACTGTTGTGAAGGGTGTTTTCTTCACCAGGGAAAGAATTCTTCGGTCATCCACCACAGTTGTTTTCCGTGGTCTTCTGGGTCTTTTGGTGCTGCTGAGCTCACTGGTGCGTTCCTTCTTTTTAAGAATTTTCCAAACAGTTGTTTTGGCCACACCTAATGTTTTTGCTATCTCTCTGATGGGTTTGTTTTGTTTTTCAGCCTAATGATGGCTTGCTTCACTGATAGTGACAGCTCTTTGGATCTCATCTTGAGAGTTGACAGCAACAGATTCCAAATGCAAATAGCACACTTGAAATGAACTCTGGACCTTTTATCTGCCCATTGTAATTGGGATAATGAGGGAATAACACACACCTGGCCATGGAACAGCTGAGAAGGCAATTGTCCCATTACTTTTGGCCCCTTAACAAGTGGGAGGCACATATGCAAACTGTTGTAATTCCTACACCGTTCACCTGATTTGGATGTAAATACCCTCAAATTAAAACAGTCTGCAGTAAAAGCACATCTTGTTCGTTTCATTTCAAATCCATTGTGGTGGTGTATAGAGCCAAAAATGTTAGAATTGTGTCGATGTCCCAATATTTATGGACCTGGCTGTATTTTTTTAGACTAGCAAGATAAAGTCTGGAAAAAAGTGTTGTGGCAAGCAAGGGTTAAAGAAATTGCTTCCAAGCAAAGCCTAACATTTTAAAAGAACTCAACTTGTCTGCTTCTTTACAAGCTTGTCCTTCCTAAATGAGTGAATGCATCTCTGCCATGGGTTTCCTGTTCTTGGGTGGTTCCAATGCCTTGCATGGTCCCTGTGAAGCCACCATTTCATGCACACTCCCAGGAAAAAGTTCAAGCCGAAACTAGGATGTTGCCTGCGCTGACACAAAAGCAGCCAGAGTGGAATGAATTTGGCACGTACGTGGCACATGAAATTATGGGAGTTGTAGTCCTGGGAAGGGGGATAAGGTGATGTTCTGTGCCGTAGTGAGTGCACGCTCCCCAGCTGGAAGTTCAGGAAGAAGCAGAGAGCAAGCTAGAGTGGACAGTTCTAAAGAAGCCAAGTTAAAAGTGTTTCTGGACATTTTATGTCCTATGCTCAACTGGCATTAACAAATGTAATTAGGATAAAACCAGTGCGGTGTTGGCATAACTTCAGTGGACAGAAAGTCTTTGACAGGTCTTCGTTAATCCCTTGATAAAGCAAGACACTGGCCGATCGACTCCAGGAAGAGAAGCCCATTTTGTTGAAAAATCCTTTACAAGAGGGGATTGAGCACTTAGAACCATTTAGAAGGAGGCATTGTCTGGGTGTTTTCAATCTTTGTAATTAAAGTCATGGAATAAGGATGTGTAAAGACAACTTGGGAGGATGTTAATGTGTATGAGAACCAAGGCAAGAGTTTGGTAGGTGAAGTAACAGTGGAGGCCTCTCACTGAAACTGAACACACAACCTTGTTTAGAAAAGTAACAGTTTCCTTCTGTTTAGGTGAAATGACAGTTGACTAAAATTCAGCTGGTGGGGTTTCATCCTCCTCTAGTGAGGACCGTCCACACCTGACAACAAGTTCTCTGTTAGGTATCTCTGAGTTGAAATACGCTGGGAAATGCAACAGTGGGTATTTTAGTACCTTGCAATCAGCAGGAGAAACAACTTTCACTTACAAATAAAAAAAAAACCTCATAACCTCATAAATAATACTTCTGATGTAAGAAACAGAAATTAACTCATGAGGAGAAAGGGGAGATATCAAAAATAGCTACTGGCGCAGGCAATTCCAACCTAAGATATGTAAGAAATACAATAGGCCCAGTTATTTCCTGTGCCAAGTTCACCTTTGCAAATAAGGTCTTCACTGGAGGATTTGTTCTCAACCGCAGCCCTTCCATTTGGTGCTAGAAATGTTGCAAACGACTAAAAAGGTGTATAAAAAAACTACCCAAACACCCCAGAAGTACTCACAGACCCAAGGATGGATTTGGTGTGTCAGGTGGTGAATCAGCAACAACAGCTCTGTGATCACTTGTCACTACAGGCAGCTAAAAAAACAACAGTATTGGGTTCAATTGCCAAAAGCTGTGCTATGAAAAAAAAAAAAAAAGGCATGAGGTGAGGGCTGACTGAGAAGAAACTGCTTCAATTAAAAAAGAATCAAAAAGAAAAGAAATGACTGGTGCAAGAGGAGAAGGAGAAAGAAACTTTCAGAAGTACAATTAACAATTCAGTACTGTTCGTGATACTTTTTTTATTTGCACTGACATACAATTTTGAGGACAAGCTTTCGGGGAGTGTCCCCTTCTTCAAGGTCCAAGCAGTACTGAATTGTTTCTGTCGCAAGTGCACTAATACGGCTACAATCACCTCAAGGAGAAGTACAATTAGAAACCACAAAGCAGAGTGTGCATACTCCCAAAAAGCTAAATACCAGCCTGTAGGAGAAGTAGCAGGAAGTTTGAACTGGTGGTATGGGCCAAACATTGGCCACAAAAAAAAAAAAACCCCACAACAATAAAAAGGAAAAAAGGCCCCACAGACCACAAACGATTATGTACAATATAAGTACATAAAGCAAATATACAACCATAGAAAAGGGAAATATAGAGCACTGTACATCTGTCCAGGAAGTATAAAACAGCCACTATAGAAGCTTCACACAAAGCTGGCTAACCAATCACAACAGTGAGACGAGGACAGGTGAACTGCCGTAAGCTCTGGTCCCGATAGCTCTGCAGGGGGTCCCCAAAAAACTGCCCTGACATGAATAGCAGGGTCCTGTACAAACTGGAACACAAACAGGTTGTCACTGCAAACATGCAGGACCATCGCGGACAGGACACAAATATATTTAATGCACTTGCAAAATCTGCACTCCTGGGATGACTGGAAAGACTTCCAGGATTTCAGAATCTGGCCAGAATCTACTAGTAGCTGTCCATAGTAGAAAAGTCTTTCAAATGAACAGAAAATAGCTGAGATAAAGAAAAAATGCCCACTCTATTGAGAATGCTAAGCAGAACCTGGCAGGTGAGGTGGGGGGAATTATAGGTGGTATAGTCTCTAGGGCAGCCTTTCTCAACCAGGTTGCCCAAGCACCCTGGGGTGCCTTGAGATTTCTTCAGGGGTGCCTTGACAAAATGTCTAAAAAGTGCCAAAAACTTGAATACAAGCCAGCAGGTGGGACAACCCTGCCTATTAGTTACACAAAGCCAAGGGTTTTCATTGTGCACCATTAGGACCTTCTAGCCGCCGCCGTCCCGACAAACAATGACATCTTCAGTCGATAAGGAGGATGTCAGAAGCCTCTACAGCATCCTAGTACGACACCCCTTCATCAGAGCTGCGGTCACATTAGCCCAGCGATGGAGAAATCTCAGGGAGAAGGGAAACACTGGAATGCTAGTCAGTACCAGTGTGCAAAAGTGTATTTTCTTTGGAAGAATAAATCGCCTCTAATGTTGGGTGTCCTACATGTGTGGATTTTTATGCATTATATAAAACTATTAGAATCGTTTTTTTCACATTTTAGAATGGAGTGCCTCAATACTGTCCATAATTTTAAAGGGTGCCTTGACTGAGCAAAGGTTGAAAAACACTGCTGTAGGGAAATGGCCTTCAATTTTCTACATGCCTACTGTCTATTTCTCATAAACCTTGATTGCTTAATATAAAAGCTGTGCCCCTCAATGGATAATAGAGAAATAAAAAATTCAACTTGACTTATAAGGGCAGGAACCATAGAAGCCTATTACAGTTTTTTTTGGTTCCTTATCCATAAGCATGCACTGTGGAAATCTGCAATAGAAACTATTCCCTGAGGGGCATTTCACACTAAATGCATTTCAGTTGCTTTTTTTCTGCATCCAAAATGCACAGAAAGTAGGTTATATGGTTGTGAATGTCGCAGTTCACATCAGTGCTTGCAGTTCCCGTGCATTCTGGATGCAGGAAAAAAAAGTAGAACAGGCTGTATTTTTTCTGCACAGAACTGTACTGGAACACGTTAAAACACTGGAACGCACATGTCCCTATTTAGGGTTACCTCATACTAGATGCGGTTCATTGTGTTTTTTTTCTGCATCAAAAATGCATGCAATGTTTTCCATGTATTCCAATGGCCCTAGTTCACACCAGCACAATCACGTCCAGTCAGTTTCCAGTGCAGAAAAAAAAAGTAGAACGTGCTGCATTTTTTCTGCACAGAACCATACTGGAACATGGCAAACTGCATCAAAACTGCACCGGAACTGTGTGTGATGTGAACTGTAAGCAAAAACCTATCCAGAGTGTGTTTTTGTAGTGTGAACTAGCCCTTACATTGAAGAAAAAGAGAGGGGGGAAAAATGAACTGGAAAGCATAAAAAAAAAAAAAACACACCAGAACATGTCAAAAATGGAATGCACCAAAAACGTGCATGCAGAAATGCATCTGGAATATAGTGTGAACCACCCTAAAAGATAAACACATTATATAAGGATTACTTTAAACTTTCTGGTCATTCCCACAAAACGAATGTATTCCAGTGAAAATTACAACTTCTTTTTAAATACTAAACAAGTTCCTGAAATAAATACGAAATAACATTCATACCTGCTCTTTTTCTGCTTTTATTCTGTCCAGCTCAACTTTTAAACTTGATATTGATGCTATATAAAAGGAAAGACACATCAGACTAGTTAAAAAAAAAAAAGTAAGGCCACACAATACAGTTATCAATACACCTGACATATGAACACATACAATGTAAAACATTATACATGTATCAAACAAAACAATGGCACAGCAACTTCTTTTTGTGTGGAGGTAAAACTAATGAAAAGCTACAGAGGCCTAAATAGTTAAAAACAACTGGGAACAAAGTAGATAGATAGCAATAATTAAATTCTAGCCTGTCAAATGCATTCATTCAGACCTTGCAGTATTTGGTCCGGGTTCAATTTGTACCAGTGTATAGCGTTTATATGCACTAGATGTTTACTTAGTCTTTCAAACCGCTTCTCAAAGTTCATTCCCCAAAATCAAAAAATACTGCTGTTTAACCACTTGAGCTCACAAAGGTATTACCCCTTTCGTGACCAGGCCATTTTTTGCTATTTAGCACTGTGCTACTTTAACTGGCAGTTGATCTGCCATGCAATGCTGTAGCCAAATGAAATTTATATAATTTTTTTGCACATAGAGATTTAATTTGGTGGTATTTCATCACCACGGTTTTTTAATTTTTTATTATATAAAAACGAAAAAAAAAAAAAAAATTGAAAAATGTACAAAACCGATCCTAACTAATAACCAAAACGGATTTCTGCTTGTACAATCATCTTTGGAAACAGGAACTGACATGAATACCAATTTTTGCTCTGTAGAGTCCTCTAAAAAAAAAAAATTACAATGAAAAAAAAAAAGACCCCTTAGGTTTTCATGTCATTTTTTGACAGTTGTGTTAAGCATTGTCCATGCATATGGTCTTTTGTTTGTTCAATTTAAATAATCCTCCTTTGACACAAAAGAGTAATGCTGTGCTTAAAGAACAGGGATGCTCTAGTACTCTAGTGTTTACTTATTGTATGATAAACACACACAACCTCAACATATCTCACCTTCTAGTGACATGAATAATGAAGAACCCATGAGCCAACATAAAACCTACAACACAGACTTAAAACAGACAAGTAGATCCTACCTTCTAAGATGTCTGCAAAGTGGTGAGAGACAGGAGGAAGAAGGGACAAAAGAAAGTACATAAAATGTCAAGAAAAGGAGGAAAATAAAACCATAAAGAGACTTGCTTTGTATTAGTGCCCATCTCTGAGTTTTCTTGAGTTATGTGCTGAACAAAAAGAAACACCAAACAGGACAATATATAGATCAATTGATCTCTGTTATGTTTGCTATGCTTTTGTTTTTGGTATTCCCCAGCACAAACCAAGAATACATTTATCGGTGAACGGTCATCACATAAGCCATCAGATCACCAGAAAAAAGGTCATATGAAAAGAAGAGTTTAAGAGAACAATACTAGTATTGGGAGTAGAGCACATGCTCAGAGTAGTTATCCTCTTGTAGGCACTCATCCAGATAAGATCTGCTTCTAGAAATAACTCCGCCAATTAGCTACACCTGGTTGGTTGTACTTTTCTATGTTCTGAGTTGCTCCCTTGAAGAAAAGTATTCATACCCCTTGAAATTTAACACATTTTGTCATGTTACAGCCAAAAATGTAAATGTGTTTTATTGGGATTTGATGTGATAGACCAACACAAAGTGGCACACAATTGTGAAGTGGAAGGAAAATGATAAATGGTTTTCAAAATATTTACAAATAAATATCTGAAAAGTGTGGAGTGTATTTGTATTCAGCCCTCTTTATTCTGATACCCCTAACTAAAATCTAGTGGAACCAATTGCCTTTTGGAGTCACCCAATTAGTAAATAGAGTCCACCTGTGTGTAATTTAATCTCAGTATAAATACAGCTGTTCTGTAAGCCCCCAGAGGTTTATTAGAGAACATTAGTGAACAAACAGCATCATGAAGGCCAAGGAACACACTAGAAAGGTCAGGGATAAAGTTGTGGAGAAGTTTAAAGCAGGATTAGGTTAAAAAAAATATCCCAAGCTTTGAACATCTCACAGAGCATTGTTCAATCCATCATCCGAAAATGGAAAGAGTATGGCACAAGTGGAAACCTACCAAGACATGGCTGTCTACCTAAACTGACAGACCGGGCAAGGAGAGCATTAATCAGAGAAGCAGCCAAGAGGCCTGCAGGAACTCTGGAGGAGCTGCAGAGATCCACAGCTCAGGTGGGAGAATCTGTCCACAGGACAACTATTAGTCGTGCACTCCACAAATCTGGCCTTTATGGAAGAGTGGCAAGAAGAAAGCCATTGTTGAATGAAATCCATAAGTCGTCCAGTTTGTGAGAAGCCATGTGGGGGACACAGCAAACATGTGGAAGAAGGTGTTCTGGTCAGACGAGACCAAAATTTAACTTTTTTGCTTAAAAGCAAAACGCTATGTGTGGTGGAAAACTAACACTGCACATCACCCTGAACACACCATCCACACCGTGAAACATGGTGGTGGCAGCATCATGTTGTGGGGATGCTTTTCTTCAGCAAGGACAGGGAAGCTGGTCAGAGTTGATGGGAAGATGGATGGAGCTAAATAAAGGGCAATCTAAACCCTAAACATACAGCCAGAGCTACAATGGAATGGTTTAGATCAAAGCATATTCATGTGTTAGAATGGCCCAAAGTCCAGACCTAAATCCAATTGAGAATCTGTGGCAAGACTTGAAAATTGCTGTTCACAGATGCTCTCCATCCAATCTGACAGAGCTTGAGCTATTTTGCAAAGAAGAATGGGCAAAAATGTCACTCTCTAGATGTGCAAAGCTGGTAGAGACATCCCCAAAAAGACTTGCAGCTGTAATTACAGGTGGTTCTACAAAGTAGAATACAAATGCACGCCACACCTTTCAGATCTTTATTTGTAAAAAAAGTTTGAAAACCATTTATCATTTTCCTTCCACTTCACAATTATGTGCCACTTTGTGTTGGTCTATCACATAAAATTCCAATAAAATACATTTACGTTTATGGGGTATGAATACTTTTTTCAAGGCACTGTACTACATGTAAAGTGTTTTCACAACACTGGCCTAGAATTTTAAAAAATGACCTTTAGGTCCAGTTCACACCAAGAATCGCACAGTAATATGCTTGCATTCCTGTGCGATTTGAGTGCAGAGCGTCTTCAGCTCAATCATATGAACTGGCTGAAATCACACTGCACCGCACCAACAGTAGTGCATGCACTACTTTAAAAAGCACATTGTAACCAGACAGCATGGTGCTTCTGTACCATGCGACCTGGTGCAGACTGCAATTGGGGTGTCGTTAGCACTGCACTGACACCCGCTGCAGAACGCAAGGGCAGTGCGTTTTAAACGTGGTGTGGGAAACTTGCACAAAACGCAGGCTTCCCACGCCGTGTTCTCATGTGAATGGGCCCCAAAAGAAGTATATATTTGCCAACATATTGGATGGTAGGTCAACCAAAATCTTTCCAAGGGATTCTGGAAAACTACTTTAGGCCTATATCAACACACAGAGATGAGTGTGACTGTTACTGTGTGAGTGTTCATTGTGCGTTAAATGCCAAATGTTACAGTTACACAACACAACAGTGCCAAGTACACAGGCTGTATTCGGTTTTAAATAAAACACATTTTAAATTCCATACCGTTCATCTACTGAATCTGAAATTAAAAGTCTTTTCTTACAATTTTATGTTGCGCAAAACTTAGAATGCATTAAAGTGTATGTTACCCTTTAAGGTATTATTTCATACATGTGTCAGTGCTTGTGTATAAGGGTGTGCGCAACTGTAACCCATTATATTTTAATTCCTTTGTTTTCTTAGAAATGCCTTGGGGATCCGCTAGTCTCTCCCTTTGCTGTACCAACTTGGCCACACCAAGCATGGATGAAAAACTGCGCTGGTGTGGTCAGTTTGTGTATCATTTATTCCCTCTTGGAGTTATAATATGACTGTGGTCAGTTTAGTTTCACACCCTTTGCCCAGCCCTGCTGTTCCCTGTTTTAGTGTGCTGGACAGCATACAGGGGTTTATTTACTAAAGCAGGTTCACTCACAATCTCATGCACTTCTGCATAGAAACCTACAGGTTTTATTGCTAACGCTTAAAGTGTTACTAAACCCACAACAGTAAAATCAGTCTGTGTATGCAGTAAAGGATTGTTATACTCACTGTGGAACCTAAGGGGTTAATCCTCTGCATTGTGTAAAAAGGTAATTTAATCCTGACTTCTTTGATCCTCCCCTTCTTCCAGTGTCCCCTTCTTATATCCTGATAAGACATATCGTGTGGAGTCACTCTGCACATGCTCAGTTTGGTGTGTAATGCTAGAGAAGGTTTTTTTTTCCTTGGGATAGTGCATGTGATCAGCACAGGGCCACTCAGCACTGTCCAGACAGAGGTCAGGGTTTCTGCATCCTTCTAGAGCAAAATGCAAACTTCTACAAGTTTTAACCTGTGCTCTTCTGAACACTGAAAGAAGTCACAAGACTGCTCTAACTGCTGCTGAGAAAAGGTATTTAGCAGTTTATTTTTACTAAAATAACTGCATTTCCATTTTCTGTGTATTGTGGGAGACCAGATAGAGTGAATGCAGGGTCCTGGGTTTAGTAACACTTTAACAGCACAAGCCGAGATTAGAAGCTAATCGGCTACCATGCACAGTGGCACCAGATTCTGAGTGAACCAGCTTTTGTAAATAAACCCCCAGTGTTCAGGGTACTTCAATGTGTATGCCTCTAATGTGTATTGTCTACCATCCTGCCTTCCTGCCCACTTATCCTCATAAAACCGGCTGCCCCGCACAGCTGTAGGCAAGGAGTGTCATGGGATGCCAATCATCCCTTTATCCCTGCCTACAGCCTGACAACACTTTTGACTGTCTGGATTGAGCTACAGAGCTCTTGAGATGTATGGTGTTAGGATCCACTTACAGCACCTGGACCAGAAAGAGAGGAGAGGATGCAGCAATAACATGACTAATAGGTACAAAAAAGAAAAAAAACACCCCACAAACATTTTTTAAACATTTTTAGATTAAATTAAGTGCTTAACTAGTTGCTAAGCATTGCCTTGATATAACTGGCATTTTAGGTTCACAAATACTTACATTATCTACCTGTTAGCAATAATGAGTGAGAAATGAGTACAAAAAATATAAAAGAATTTTGAAAGCTCACCCAATACCTGTGAATTCAAAATATAAACCTCATCACCTACGCTCTCTCCTTTATGCCAAACAAAGCTTATTGGATGAGAAGCTGGAAGTCTTACCTATCTCCTCTTTACAATTTTCTATTTCAATCTGTAGGGTTTCTTCTATATTTTCTTTCTGACATTGCTCTGCTTGAATTTGCTCCTTTAAGAATAAAATTTCTGCTTTCAGTTTTTCTTCAAGGTGGTCTGATGCAGTCCGGACACTTATAATATCTTCCCTATATTTCAGAACTAATTCATGTAGTTCCTAGGAATAGACAGAGGCAGCCAATTGAGAGAGATGAAAATGAAGCTGATAAAACTCTTCTGCAATAGAGTCCAAAGATGAATGGCTGAATAAAACACACCTTCATTACAGTTTACCTACACACTTCCTCTTGGTCTACTGCAGGCCATAGACGGGTCGTTTATCAGCTGAATTTTTGTCCAAACGAAAAATAGGCCGATATTCACACCGTTAGTGGGGCAATGCCGTGGGCCGTTTTTTGCGGATCTTCTCATTTCTTTTTATCAGTCATGCTGGAAAATCTTTGAAAAACGGCCGTTTTTCGTTTGCATTGGTGGCAGCATCCATGACAGCAACGACCAATTTTTCATTTATTGGCCGACAATTCGGCCGATAAATAGCCCGTCTATGGCCAGCCTAAGAAAGAATGTTAACATGGCTGATATCTTTTTTTTTCCTTTTAAACAAACTACAAAAAGAAAAAAAGTTAGATAAAACTTTGCAAGGTTAGGGTGCACACTGAGGCTTCTGGGCAACTCAAAGAACAAATCAAGCAATGTGTTATTTTCTTTAAGACAATCTGGCATGTTATCTGGGAAGTATTATCAGATTTTTTAGGCTTCCTTGATTTTTTTCTTCACATGGATCATGCAGGTTTACAATATCCTGATGGCTTCCATAAAATAAAGCTCATGATCTCCGTGGCATCAACTCCATTAGGTCTACACATACAGTAGGTGCATAACGTAGTGGAAGTAGCAAAAACAATGTCTGAAGGTAGAAATATACCTCAATTGTTTCAGGAAGAATGAAATTTTCTGCCTGCTGTAGTGACACATGCAAGCTATGTTTTCCTTGAAGACTCTCATTGTCCTTCTGTAGCCTAGTCAACTCTTCAGAGACTTGCTCCCGTGACTGTGTCAGCACAGCCTGAAATTGACAAACAGAAATACTAGGAATAATTAGAGCAAACCTAGTCAAAGGGCTGATCTACAATGCACCATGATGGTTACAGCTTCATAAAGTATAACAAAATGTAGCAGAAGTAAAGGTGCCTTAACCACTAGAGACACGTAGACTGAATATCTAGAAAAGTTTGAGAGGATATATTCTATCAAAGCAAAAGCACATCTTCAGAAAGTACATATTTTCAAAATACGTAAAAAGTCATTTCTGATGTTACTATTTCACTTGCTTGGACGTATATTTTTATGATGGTTCTTCACGAACAGTTTTCTTGATTCTTCCTATAGAAGCCTACACAAGACCATGCAGTTCGTATCCTTTCTGAAGGACTTTATCATAACATAATAAGCTGCCTAGAGCCGGTATGGTGAGACAGGAACTAATTTACATTTATATTAAACAATGTCGTTTTTCTTTAACAAAATTATAAATCCACTGTAACCTCAATAATAATAATGATGATGAATAATGAAGAGCTGCATGGGCCAGCATTAAAGTGAACTTGTTGATTTGCCCTGCATGCCAACGCACAGATTAATTTTAAGTCTAAAATGTTATGAGCAGGTCTATGGCAGCTCTCTTCGTAGTATTTGCTTCTACACTCTGCTGAAAGAAGAAATGAGAAAAATGAATTACCATCTGTTCTTGAACACTTCTCTTTGCTAGAGAGAACGTCTGCTGAATTTCAGCGAGCAACGCTTCTGAATCCTGAGCTCGCAGTGTTAGGGCAGTTATCTGACAACAAAAGAAAACATTTGCAGTGAATATGATGTCAGAACATATCTATTAATGGCTATTACATGGAACACGACAGGGAAAAAACTATTCCTTCACCTTTACTTGGTTACCCTGCAGACTATTCAAGTTAAAAGGAGAAGTTCATCTTTGGAACATGTTCAACACGTTTTCAGGATGGAACATACATCTGCACCTTCCCCCCCCCCCCCCCCCCCCCAATGACTTGGGAGCATGAACAGAGAATCATTCACCATTTGCCCTCCAGAGGATTTACCCCCCTTCTTCACCAGGCCATTTTTTGTGATATGGCGCTTCGTTACTTTAACTGACAATTGCAGTCATGCAACATTGTACATAAAAAAAAAATTGTAATTTTTTCCCACAAATAGAGTTTTGTTTCGGTGGTATTTGATCATCTCTGCGTTTTTTTTTTTTCCACTATAAACAAAAAAAGTCAATTTTGAAAGAACCAAAACAATATTTTTGACGATTTTCTATAAAACAAATACAATAAAAAAAAAAAATTAAAAATGTCAATTAATAAGAGAATTCTAACACACAGCATAGGCATATTTATAATTATAGTCCAAAACACATTCTGCTACTCCTGAGTATGGGGATACCACATGAGTGTCTTTTTCACAGCCTACCCACAAAGAGCTGCCCAAAATCCAAGGAGCACCTTTAGACATTCTAGGGCATAAAGTACGTATTTTCCTGACTACCCCTCACATTTTTAGAGGCCATGGAGTACCAGGACAGCAGAGACACCAACACAATGACCACATTTTAGAGAGTAAACACCCCAAGGTATTTTTTAAAAGGCATGGTGAGCCATTTGAAGACTTTTTTTTTTTTTTTTTTTTGGAAACTGGGGGGGAAAAATAATGAAAATTAATCTTTTTACACAAAGTTGTCAATTTAATAAGACATTTTTCACACACAACGTGCTTAGAATTTCACCCCAAAACAATTCTGCTACTCCTCCCAAGTATAGAGATACCACATGTGTGAGACTATTTTAATGTCTGAACTGATATTTACCATACATTGTATCATTTGTAACGCAGCAGTCTCCATTTCTATAAGCCAAACAAGCCTAGCCTACTGGCACAGGCAGAAATGCAGTCAACATATCGGCCTGGGTCAGTACAGGCAGAGGCAATACTGCACTAGTGTGGCAGTGATCAGGAACACTTACTTGCTGCACTGGCGACACTGGCACTGGTGTGGCCGCGATAAGAAACACTGTTGATAGCTTACACAAGTCTGGTGACACTGAGACTGGTATGGGAGTGATCAGGAACACTGTTGCTGGCTTACACTGGTCTGGTGACACTGCAACATACCTGGCAGTGATCAGAAACAATGTTGCTGGCATACACTGGTCTGGTGATACTGGTACTGGTGTGGTGGTGATCAGCACAGCCATTATTGGCTGTACTGGTCTGGTGTGACAACAGTCAGGAAAACAGTTGCTAGCTACACTGGTGCAGTGCCACTGTGACTGGTGTGGTGGTGATTGAAGACAATGCGACTGGCCAGTTATTAGGGCCAGTTCACGTGTGAGGTTAGGGAGTGATAAAACCTCACTGTTAAGTCACGGTTTTACCACCCCCAACCACTACCCCCTTTAGCTGCAGAGACAGCAGCAGGGGATGTACACATGCCACAGATGCAATGCTTTGCAGCCATGACAGGGATTTTACCTCCTGACACTTTCGGTGTGCGTAGAACTGTGACCCATTCAAGTTGAAGGGGGCATTGGTACAGGAGTCAAGGTAGGTGGTGAGGAGACGATATAATGCACTCTGAAAAGCAATCCAAACGGCAATCAATAGACAGCAGAGCAGTACAACGTCACCACTGTACTGCTCAGGAGGCTGGGTTTTTTTTTTTCTTGGTTTTAACTCTGACTCCCAGTGACTGTAGTAAGCAGTTTTTCCCCTCTTACAGCTGATCGCCGTGAGAGGAAACTGCTCAAACGCTGCAATCTTGCAGCCTTTGCTTACATGTGTGATTGCTGTGATTGGTCACAGCAATTACATGGTATAGGGACAAATTTCATTGGCCCTGTACCCAGCAGATCACAGAGTGTGCAGGGGGTGCAGGAGGATGTAAAAGTATATCCCCCCGAATTGAAGCTTGTCCCACCCAGCTTTTTATATGCAGTGGCAGGGTGGGAGATGGTTAGAGTAATATAAGTGAGAACATAGTTTAAGATGTTTTTAACTCCATGACAAATTTGTTTTCAATTAAATCATTAAACCTTCAGGAGTAAAGCATGCATATTTGCCAAAATGAATCTCTCATTAAGTGTCATGTTAAAGTTAGGGGGTTTTCCTACTTTATACAAGGCAACTACAACAGGCAAAACATGTGTAGAGCATGAATGGACCCACAATGCCCTTAGCAGTACAGTTTAAGCAGGCGGTTAAGGTTCTAAGTATATTTCAAGTGTTAAGACATACAAGTGAAACCAGTTTCTGTTCCTCACACAACACCACTGATAGAAATGTAAGTATCAGTATGGTTTAGGAACACAGCAGGCTGTCATCAATGTGGAAAGCATAAGTAAGCATCAACATTCATTAAACACTGCGTATTGTGCCCCAGTTTACAGTAATGTAGAAGGTTTGACAATTTAATTACCGGAACGGACTGCAACCAAGTTGTCACCTAGTTTTCTAGACTCTACCAGAAACATTCCTGGAACTCGTTTTCCAGAACACTGCACAATATCTGTGTTGCGGCATGCTGGATGTTCAGAACATCAAATCATTTGTGCCCTTTAAACGCAGGCAAAAGTCGCTGGGTGCCGAGTCAGGGGAATAAGGTGGTTGGTTAAGTTTCGGAAACACATTAAGTGCAGGGGCATTGTCGTGGTGGAGAATCCACTTGTCAGGCCACAGGTACAGTCCTTTCCTCCGAACAGAGATTCCTGTAACCTAGTCAGATTTTCCAAGTAACAATGTTGGTTGACGGTGGTACCATTTTCTATGAACTCGTAAGGAACAAGCATAGATTTGAATAGAGAATGAGACGTGCATTCTTTAGGTGAGGTGAATTCTGTGTTTTCCCCTACAAGCTCTGGCACTCTGTTTCCTGGATCATACTGGAAACACCAGCTTTCATCACTGGTAGTAACCCTACCAACCAGCATTCTTCAAAAGAGTGGATGAAATTTGAAGATGACATCTCTTCTAATCTTCAGTCAAGATTAGAAGCAATATCTTTGCGGGAATCTTTCTCGTTCCCAAATACTTCATTAGAATCTACTACACTGTATCCCTGTTCATGTTCAATTCTTCTGTCATCATTCGCACACTAAATCTTCGATCTGAACGTACTAGAGTTCACACTGTGTCCACATTTGCAACTGTCCTTTGTGTTTTTTGCTGCCCTCATCTTGCGTCATCGTGGACATCTTCTTAAACTGTCTATGCCATTTAAAAACACCAATTTCTTCATGGAATGTTCACCATAAGCCTGTTGTAACAGCTAAAGTTTCACTTGCACATTTTGCCAGTTTTCATGCAAAATTAGATGTTAATCTGCTGCTCCAGATTCAGGTCACTCATTTTCCACCAACAGTGCAACATACGTGTTATTTCTTCCACTACTCTGTAAACACTGAGTCAACTTGTCTGCGACCCAAGCCAGAACATACTCAAGCATGAATGGCGGTGTGTACACCTCATACATCTGTGTACCCAAAATTTGGAAACACTTAGGCAAATCACATTGCTGAGCTGCTATATACTTCACAGTTGTACGATGGAGCTTCTAATTATGTTGAATACTGTATACTTAAAGAGGAGCTCTAGTCAAAACATAAAAAACTTAAAGCCAGCAGCTAACAGATCTGTAGCTGTTGACTTTTAAAAACCAGACACTCACCTTCCCTCGATCCAGCAGTGCGCTGACTGCAGCCATCCTCTCTCGAAGGTGCTGGCATCTTACGTGTGGGCACCCGGCTTAACAGCTTGCAGCTTCACAGCCGGATGCCCACTGTGTGAGTAGCATTACACCTTGTGAATGGTCCTGTAGTCTTCTGGGACCTGTCACATGTGACAGGTCCCAGAAAACTATGGGGGGTTGTTAGACAAATGAGGACAAATTCCACTTTTGATCGCCTAGGAATTAAGTAGCATGGAGTAGCGGGTACGCAATTTTGACAGGTACCCACTCCCCAAAAGGTGCCAATCCTTAATGGGGAGGGGGGGAGACGGGGCCTTAAAACGGAACTTCCCCTTTTGGGTTTAGCTCCGCTTTAACTGGTACTGCGAAAGAGTCCATGCTACTTAATAAATTAGCCAAAAGAAAATTAATTGTTTTAATAAGAAAGCTAAATGATAGCGTTATGTATGAGGCAAGGCAAATACATATATAAAACACACCAACATCTCTTATTTTTGTTGAAAACCCAGAGATAACATTCTCACACATAAAAACTCAGAAGCAAATCAAACATGAGCGTCTACAAGTACTACAAGGGATGGGTGTAATCTGGTAGCATGGTAGCAATAAATGGCTTTGGTGAAATATATCATTCATACCTGTTTAACAGTTTCTTCAGAATTTTGCTTTAAATACTCCTCCAGTTCCTGCTTTTCTTTTAAGCTTTTCTCAGATTGGTCATTTGATTGTCTCAGCATTACTTGCAGTTTTTTAACCTGTGAACAAGACCATTACAGTAAAAACATTTTACATACTAGTCAAAAATTCTCAGGTACCCTAACAACGAACATACAATAACTTGATGCTATCAAAACAAGCATGGTAGCTTGCATTTATTTATTATTGATGTAAACAATACAGAACACATTTTTCACCACAGTGGTATAACTCTTCCTAATGGAAACACCCCTCCATCAGCCCAGATATTGCTGAAGCTTGCAAATTCACTCATTTGACACTGGCATTCCAAAGGAATGTAAGAATCCAACCATCAGTATAAGATGCACACATTGTCAAACATAGGATTTTTGTACTGTAAGATTAATTTCCTGGGGTTCATTCAGCGACACCGTGTCATTCATACAGTGTCAGTGCTTTTTAATCACTGTATTAGTGTCACTGGGGATGCCAGTGGCAGTTCGTTCCCACCCAGTGTCATAATGCCCGCCACAGTCCCGCTATAAGTCGCTGATCACAGCCATTACTAATATAAAAATAAATAAATAAAACTTCCACTGTATATACTGCCATTTGTAAACGCTATAACTTTCACGAAAACCAATTAATTTACATGTATTGGGATTTTTTTTTCTTTAGCAAAGACATGTAGCAGAATACATTTTGGCCTAAATTTATGAAGAAATTTGATTTTAAAATTTTTTTATTGGATATGTTTTATATCAAAAAGTCAAAAATATTGGGGGTTTTTTTTTTTTTTCAAAATTGTTTTTTTTTTTTTTTAGCGCAAAATAAAAAATGCAGAGGTGATCAAATACCACCGAAAGAAAGCTCTATTTGTGGGGGAAAAAAAATGACATATTTCATTTATGTGCAGCATTGCATGATGGCACAATTTTCAGTTAAAGTAACACAGTGGCATATTGCAGCAAATGGCCTGGTCAGGAAGGGGGGTAAAAACTCTGGAGGACAAGTGGTTAAGTACAAAAATCCCATTTTTGTCTCATTCCTTGAGAGACACAAGAATTCAGAGAATGTTGAGAAATCCAAAAGCAGTGGAACTGAGGGGTGGACAACAGCAACAAAAACACTAAGGGGCCCACACAAATAGGAACTGGGGGCTGCCTGCAGTTGATAGAGTCACCCAAAGGACCTTGCACCCAAAACTAGCATGATATGAAACCTGAACATATACGTGAACGTAACCTGGGATCACATGGTTACTCTTTGTTCAGCCAGAGGGCTGAAAATAAAAAAAAAACTAAGATTCCTGCTTCAACACAAGCAATGTGGATGCAAGGATCTCCACCCTCTGATCAGAGCTATAGCTGACTGTGCTAATCATAGGTTTCACAACTGTCTTGTTAAATAGAAATCGATCTAACAATTGGTTTCTAACAGGGAGGGCTACACACAGATCGAAATTCAGTCAGTCCCTGGTGAACTGGTTGAATTTCAACCTGTGCGTACCCAGATTTAGAGAACAAGGGAACAGTAGGCCAGGTGGTGGCCTTGCAAATTTTGGGAAACAGGTACTTGAGCTGCAAAAGCTCAAGAAGCACTCACAGATATAATAGAGTGTGCCTTTACAGGGTGGAACCCAATCCTTCAGCATAGGATTGGATGATGATCTCATTCAGCCATTGAAAAGGCTTCCCTTACGAGTGCCATCAGGGATGGCAAAGGGACAGTCATTATTTCTAATGCATGCAGTTGCTCTGAGGTAGACAAGCACAGAGCAAACTACATCTAAGCAATAAAGGGGAAATCTTCTGATAAACTGGAGCCAGACAGAGAGCTGGAAGAACAATGTCTTGGTTGAGGTGAAGAGCCAAAACCAACTTAGAAAGAAAGAAGGCTCTAGGCCTCAACACCAATTCCAAGATGCCCCTGTCCTTTAAGACCCGGGCTTCAACAGACATGCCTTTATAGCTAGCGAATGTGAAGCAGAATGTTAAACTGGTCCACAAGACAGAAGATTTGATAGACCGATATACAAGATTTATTGTCATTGCAAATAAAAAAAAAAATTGACAATGAAATTTTCAAAAGTAACTCCTCACAATTTAAAAACTCAAACAATAATTTACATTCACCTCCATACAAACATTTTGAAAAGTAGATAATTAACTGCACTAACATAACAAAACACTAACCTAATTGGTGGTTACCTATCTTAAGCTAGTTTGGCATTTATACCCTTATTAGCCTGAGGGAAAAAGCTCTCTCTGTTTTTTCTGACATTAATGTTCCTGTAGCGTCTGTAAATGTGGACAATCTGGTAGAGCACAAGGTGTATCTCTTAGTAGTCGAATTAGGCTGTAGTACCGCATCTGCATGGGCCCATCAAACTGAGGATCATCAGAATCCTGCACAGTGGACAAGGCCAGAAGTCCACATCTGGTTTCATCTATGTATGACACAGGTCCTGAAATCCCTCAAATGCAGGCAACACTTTCCTGACTCCATATGTAGGAAGTCTGCCAGCCAACTTTCCACACCTAAAAACTAAACAGGGACAAGGCGGGAACATAAAGTTGCTGAAGCTTCAAAATGTGAGAAGAGATTCCTCTGTCTAAGTCCCTATTGCATGGACAGGGTGTCTAGTAATCCTCCCCAGCTTGATAGTTAATTGGAAGAAAGGACTTGCCCCCTTCCAGAGCTGTATTCCTGTGCCACCAGGCCAGCTAGAACCTGATCTTTGGTGACAGATGAACTAGTCTGTTCCACGATGACAGGATGTTGGTTGTAAGGGTCTGGAGTGGAACTGGACAAATTGAACTGCCTTAAAGAAGGCTACCATCAAACCCAGAATTCTCATGTAGAAGCAAAGAGTGGGGTGACACCTGGACTAAAGAGTCCAAGTCTGGGAGTGGAGAGTTTGAAGATTCTCCTGAGGAAGAAAATTCTGGCTTGACCCGTATCTACGATAAGTCTCAGATACTCCAAGCATTTAGTCAGTTCCAGCACTGACATTGTTGGTCAGAACCTGTGTCAACTGCTGCCTCAAAAGGAGATCATCCAGATATCCCACAATAGGGATGTCCTAGCAGAGCAGCAAGGCTAGCATTGGGTCCAGAACCTTGGTCAACCCCCATGTTGTTAAGGGACAGAATGAATGGCAAGGCCACAAACTAGGTGTTTTCAGAGTCTACAGAAAAGTGAAGGAATTGATGAAGTGCTAGAAAAATAGGAACATGTAGGTATGCATCCTTGATTTTCTCAAAGGCCAGAAAGTCTCACTGTTGAAAAGAAATGACAGGTCTGGTTAATTTCATACAAAATGTCTGGGCCCAAAATTAAAGCATTTAGGGTTTTGAGATCCAAAATGCCCCATTTGATTTGGGAACTGTGGATAGGCTGGAATAGAACCCCTGTAACTGTTACACCACACTTCACAAGACCTGCAAGGGCTGCACATAGATCTGCTAATTTTGTGTGCTGGCACAGGCAGGTACAAAGACATGAAACCACTGAATTTGACTATCATCCCACACCGTCATCTAGGATGTTGGCTCTCCTGAGGCTCGCAAAGGCTAACAGATGTCTCACCACTTTGGAAAGTGGTGGTGCCCCTTTATGCTGAACTAAGTTCGTCTGAGGGTTAGGGGTACGTGGAAGCCTAAGGTTTGAAGTTTAGCTGGGTGCTCAGCTTGGGTTTGGCTTTTGAGAATGAGGACCAGGAGTGTCGAAAGGAACTCTTCTTGAACTCTGAGCAGCGGTGAAATTTCAAGTCTTGAGCTCTAGATGTCTTCTGCTGGTGCAGAGGATAAGGGTGTCAAAAGCAGGTCTAAAGAGACGCTGAGCCTTAAAGGGCATTGGCAGCAAATGCTTTTTGCATGCCTGCTCTGCAGCACATGAAATCAGGGATAGGCTGGAGGAAACAGCAGCTTAGGGCTCCATGCACAAGCTCAAAATGCTCCACAGGCAAGGTATCAGCTTGGAAGAGAGACTGGATTACTTCTCATAGCCTTAGTCCAGTTCACCAAGGACTGATAGACTAGCATCACTACCAAGACAAGGCCTGCCAGAAAAAAATAAGGAAACAGTCTCTAATCATTTATCAATGAGAACCTTAAACACAGGCATATCCTTTACTGGGATTGTCAATGCTACGTTAGTATGCAATGCTGCAAGATCCACAGCAGGAACAGCTGCCAGATGTTTGGGATTTGTAAACAGCTTGTCAAGGTGAAGAAAAGCTGGGAACAGTCGGTGCAATGGAAGGGTTTTGGACCTGTAAAGGAACCTAGACAGGTAACAGCACTGGTAGAAGCTACAGGATGATTCACCAGTTTTAAAGTGGTATAAACCATGTCAATAAGAGAGATGGTCTCTATGTCTGGGGTGTAATGGCAGTAGTCTGTGTCTCCTCATCAGCAATATCATCCCTTAATTTGAGAGACTCGGTGTTACACATATAGCAGATGAGGGGTGTGGTAAATAACAGGGGCTGTTCCTCGGAGATGCTTTGATTTTATACTCCTGGAGGTGGCACTATAAGCCGTATGGTCTAGATTCCTTGCCAGGCTGTGTTCTTCAATGAAAAAAAGAGAAATAATCTTGGTCAAAAGGGAAACGGCAGTTGCGAAACGGTTAGACAGAGCATGGAGAAAAAAAAATTAAAAACTGAGGCATGCTGGGAGCAAGAGGGGTTAAACTAACTCAATGTCTAATCCTCTAATAAGCATCAGTGTAACCGAATAGTCTCCAAATTCCTGTGTCGTTCAGTGAATGATAAACACATCTGTTTTTTTTTTTTTTTAATGGACTCACCCATTTACTGGGTATGTTACGTAAGCACTGAGTGATTCTTTATTAAGATCAGACAAAGCTTTACAACAGATATTGACAGGTTACGGACTTACTTGATCTCTTGTTTCTGCTTCCTGTGTCTGAATCCCCTGCAACTGTTTTTCATAATTAGAGCACATATCACATCGTCGTCCTAGCTTATTACCAGCTGTGTGCACCTGCAAAAACACAATGCAAGGCTGTATTTCATGGCATTTTAAGTAACAAATTCAGAGCACAGTGAAAAGCAATATATATATATAACCCTCAGCAGAAGATCAATTTAAATGAAACTAATGTAGTTAAAGTTCATCACCAGTCAAGCCTTTAAAAATAACTTCTGTATTCTAAGTGTCTACTGCTCGTTTAGTCTAGGTGTGAAGCATAGTAATATTTACCCCACTCCTCGCTTCCCGAACTGGCACCCTTCTCCGATTTGCTTCAGCTCCGGAATGTGGACGGGGCTTCGACTGCTGGTTCTGATTTGCACATGATCAATTCAGAGAAAGAGCGGTTTCATAACCAGCAAATAGAAACAACCTTGGGGACTGGCTGTAATTTAAATATATTTGCAAACGTATGCAGCAATTTATTATTTTATATAGATACACTATTCGCTGCACTAATAAAGGTAAATAAACATACAGATGCTAACAATACTAAAAAAAAGAAGAAAGTATTATCCAGATCTAACAATATCCACAAAAAGTGCTCAATATATGACACCTCTTCACAGTGCTCCACCACCAAGCTGAGAGGTAAAATCTGTTAAATTTCTCATCTAAACATAATCCATATGGATCACCAGTGCTCATCAGAGGTCCCACTTCAAAAGGTAAGATCACTCTCAGCCAAGGGGTTCTTCTGCAGCACCCACCAACCAAGGGGGTTGTACTTACAAAAGTAAAAGAAAAACCAGTGCTGCATAAAAACATTAAATCCCACATGGAACGACTAAAATGACCGACTTTCAGTTTGACACGTTTCGTCATAGATGCTGGTGTCCCAGAAGTCTACGATGACATGCACTGGAAGTATGTTTTTATGCAGTACTGGTGATTATTTTACTTCTGCAAGTGCACTAATAGTTTATTAAAAGTCTACAGTTTTAACACTATGTGGAGCATCTGATCTTCTCTTTCTGGGTAATTACCTGCATACACAGATTCGCTTGGTTGGTGGGTGCTGCAAAAGAACCCTTTGGCGGCCAGTGATCTTACCTTTGAAGTAGGACCTCTGAGGAGCACCGGTGATCCATATAGATTAGGTTTTGTTGTGCAATTTGACACGTATGATTTGAGAGTCAACGCAAACAGTCTCAACTTGGTGGTGGAGCATTGTGAAGAAGTAAAATATGTTGAACAATTTCATAAGAGACTTGTTTGGACTTGGTCCTTTTTTTTTTTGGACATTGCGAGATTGTATCTGGATAATACTTTATTTTTTATTATCATCATCTGTATTTTTATTCATATGTACCTTTAATAGCTCAGCACATTGCTTACCTATTATCTGAGGCTTTGAAGAATATCTTATAGCATGCTAGCAGCTTCTTCATCATATGTTTTTTCTCTTTCACAGCGCGGTTACTCCTTTGAACACTTATATGTTATTTTATATGTTTGTGCTTGCTAACTGGTGTCACTGCTGGGGAATATCTGAACTGTTCTTTGGGAATGGCTCCATCCTGCTTGATCTTTTTCTACTGCTTGTTTTTTGTTATTTATCAGCAGTGTCAATGCCCCTTCCCTACCTTTCTCTCTGTATATGTTGCTATTCCAGAAAATAACCAGGTATACCATGTATTAGTGACTTTTCCTTATGGATAGAAATAGATACCATAAAAGAGCCCCGCATTATTTATCTGTCTTTCAGTCCAGTCTCCAAGCTTCTCTTTTCATCCAGCTCTGGATGGAGGGGCCCCAGACAACTCTCAAACTGTATTGGGTTTTTTACTTGATTACAAATAAATTTAATTCTGGACATTTACAAGTAAAGTGGCTCTTCTGTTTTTCTACCATTCCTCCATGGATCTCCAGTGTTGTTCCCACTCATCAGCCACCCAAAATAGTCCTAGCTGGACAAAGATTTCTTAAAGATAAGCTGCAAAAATATCTGCACTAGGCTCCCAGCAGATTTCTATTATTATTTAAATGTATGTATAGTCAGTTATTTCTTTTTTTAGTAGTGGTAAGAGTGTGTAAGGATTAGAACCCTTATTCATTTATTGTTGCCAGCCTGCATCCCATCTGGGAGATTTCCCTTCACTTCCTGCCTAGGAAACAACAGAGGGGATGATCTCCCAAGAGTGGACACTGAAGATAATAAAAACCTCATGGGGGTCCAACCTACTTACCACTCAATGTAACACAAAACAAAAAAAGTTATGCACCTAAAGAGTAATGCAAACTTTAAGCACATCTTGGGGATTGACTTCATTTCTTTATGGTATTAGACTTTAAATAAGAATAGGCAAGAAAATATACCTCTTTTTGTAATAAATTCCATTCTGTCTCGCTCACCAAACGGTAACCAGATGGAGGAACATATGCACTCTCCGTAACCTGTGTGACACTTGAGAGCAGCGATGCGGTCTCCTCTTGCTCAGGAGTCATGGCTTTGATTGCTTTCTCCTGATCTTTGGTTAACATGAATCCACTTGGCATGTGCAAAGATCCAAGGGAAGAAGTGTCAAAATTCTCAGAAACAGAATCTGCTCCTACAAGGGGGCCGAAGTCAGATTCATCAAGGTTGCCAGCTGATTTGGCTTTGTTGTTATATACCAAGGTTTTTGCCTGCAATGGCCCAGATGTGCCTAGACTATCTGTAGACTGTGCTCTTCGAAGTCCATCTTTAAATAAGTCCTCTTGCTTGCCAAAACATTCTCCTTCATGCAATGTTATGTCTGCATCCAATGAATGGATTGAGCCATGAGAACTGTTTAGGAGACCCTGGAAAATAAAAGAAAAAAGTCTGACCTTTTGTAGTATAGTCTTTTGGCTGATTATGTTTAACCACATTAGTATTTTAAATGTAGGAGATACATCCTGAAAAAAAAAACCTTCTAAGATGCAACGCCTATGTTTTGTACATCTCCCTTGGAATTACTATGTTTTATACAGCAGGAAGAGCTTGTCAAAATGCAGTCACTCCTGAGTAAAATGACACTTACAGATAGTCTGCAGGTGTCATTGAGTAATCGAGTGTACAGTGTACTGTTACATTATAGTTACTATTTGATTCAAATGTTGATCAAAGTTGTGACCTTAGATCTTTATATGATGTCAGTTAAAGAAACCATACAAGTTACACATTTATTGATTTTTGTTAAATAAAATGTATTCCTGTTTAACCCTTCATTAGTCCCAATCAGTCCCGGTTAATTCCTTTCTGCCTTTAACTTTTATTTTTTTGCTAGTTTTACTTTTATTACTTTTATTTTCTTACCGTCAATATGTATTTTTCCATTTTATATTTTTCAATGTCGCATAAAAAACACACATAAAAAAAAAAACAAAAACCTTTTTTCCTATTTGCAAATAACTTTGCTGTGTGCCAAAAACAATATTTTAGTGTAATCTTGAATGGCAAAAAATAAAGCATAAAACGTATAATATTAAACAGTATAGATTCCATATAAATCAGAATTTTTTTTGCATGACAATATTACCAAATAAAAAGCCTAGAAGGTCCACAAAAATATGTATATATTACTTTATCTCACTGGCAAAGGCTATTGCTGAATAATAATGCCATAGTGGAAATGTGAAAAAAGATCTAGTCCATAAGGGGTATAAAAGATATGGGAGCTGAAGTGGTCAATTAGGACAGCGGCTTGTGAAAATATGGAATGTATCACAACACATGAAAGACTGGATCATTTCAACCAGAAACACTGAGATCATGAGTTGTAAATAACCTGTTGAAAGCAATCTTCAAAGAAACAGCTAACAAAATATCACTGTAGCTTTTGGCTCCTTTATTTAGGTAATATCAATGGCAATAAAACTATGGGAAATCCAGCACAAGAGAAAGGCTCCCGCTCCAACAGAAAACAGAAAATTCATCACAAAAACACTTTAAAAGAAGTCCTTCTGCCAAATTGATCAGTTATAAATGAGAACCGAAGGATCTAATTAGATGCAAAACACATGCATCAAAAATGATAACACAAGGGTGGGAATCCTGCTGCCCTGGAAGACTCCTGGAAATAAAGTTACCAATAAGTCTAACTCTGAATTTCACAAATCATCTTCCAGGACAGCCCATGAGAGGCTAGCAAATAACTTAATAGATTTAGGACTGAAAAAAAATCTGGACAACTGTTCCCAAAGGGCTGACCATGAATATTTTGGAGGGTCCAGTGTATATGAACCTTTCAACAGAGTGATATAAAACACAGGAGACCTAGGCTGTAGAGGAACAAGACCTGAGTAGACAGCCAAAATACACCTAATGCCCCCATGACTAATCCTGTACAATGTTACACGGACCTGACTCAAAAGGGAACTATATACTGTATATTTTAGTAAGACCAAACTACAGTAAGGCCTTGGTCAACTAAGGGCATACATAAAACCCATAGCCTGTATAGTTTAACGTAAAAGGGTAATTTAAAGTCATTTAATAAGACACTTTCTTTGGGTTTGGTATCACATACAGCTGTGGGTATAACGCTCCATGTGAGAAGAATGTAGAATTGATCCATACCTATTGAAGAAACCACTTGATGACATTCTGAGTGTAAGCTAACAGAATGCAGGACTGCAAAAGCACACATAAGCCTAGTATTTGCATCCTAAAAATAATCCAAGGACCTCAGTCCTCCAACAGCTGTGCAGGATTAACAGCCTACATACTCAAAATCTGACATGGTGAGGCAGTTTCTAACACAAGCTATTGTTCACCTACTGCAAATGAAAGGATTAAACAGTAGGGTGCTGGTCCCATTGAAACCACAACACCTAAAGTAGAATTCCAGTCAAATACTAACTATACTTAAACCTGCTCCCACTCACATTCTAACTTCCCTGTAAAGTAAAGATAGATATATATATATATATTATATATACATATACATACATACACACACACTGCTCAGCATAAATGAGTAGACCCCAACAGATTTCTCAGAAAACATTTGCTTTCCTTTCAGAATCAACATTTTTCTATGGGACACTATACTACAAAATATTCCCACAAATGTGGGCCATTGATTGCAAACATGCTTTGTTAATTTGCACACAAAGTTTTTTTCCTAACAAATTCATTCAAGACCATGTTGCAAAAATGAATACACCCCAATGAAAGTCTTAGGAGCAAAGCTACATTTTAGACAACAAAATCCTAATTAACTAGAATTCAATGATAGCTGAGTCTAATTATTCATTAAACAGGTGTTCAGCAGACAGATGATTATAAAAGGGCGTTACTTAAAGAAAACCCCTTCCAATTTCATGCTGTCAGCAATGTCACCACATGGAGGAAAAATGTCACAAGGTCCAAGAAAAAAAATAATTTCTTTACACAAGAAGATCAGCAAAGCTTTACTTATCTATCAGAATACTGTAGCAAACGTGATACAAATATTTAACAAAGATGAAACTGCAACTATCTCACAGAGACATCCAGGCCATTCACGGAGGTTAACACCTCGACAGGAGCGTCTTCTGATGAGAAGGGTTGAAGAAAAATCGCCATGCAAGTTCACTGCAGTTAGCTAAAGAAGTAGAAAGCCAAACTGGGGTGATTGTTTCCCGTGACACAATACGGCATACACTTCAGAGGAATGGCATGCATAGGTGTCGTCCACGAAGGAAGCCTCTCCCTAAAGCCCACGTACAAAAAAGACCGCCCAGAATTTGCCAGGGCCCATGCTGAAAAAGAAGACTACAGGAACTCTGTACTTTGGAGTGAGAACAAGATAAATGTTTTTGGAACTGATGGCTTCAAAACTGTATGGCGTCACAAAGGTAAGGAGTACAAAGAAAAATGCATGGTGCTTACGGTGAAACATGGTAGTGGCAGTGTCCTGTGGGGCTGCATGAGTGCTGCTGGTGTCAGGGAGCTGATCCTCTGAAGTCACGTGACAGTGCAATAACATGTAGGGCGCAAACGGAGGCAGACGCAAACTGGAAGTGACATCATGTGAAAGCACCCTTTTCAGATCTCAGTAACAGAAGCGATTTTTAGTCTTGCAAAATATAAGTGCAATACTTAATTTTAATAAACACTGGAATTTTTAATCATACTGCACCATAAGAGGTGCATTGCTCTAGCTATATATGGGCAAGGTAAAGGCGACAGTATGAATGCTCAAGAGGTTTAAAGGCACCATACCTTCTTTCCATTTTGGTTTTATGTAAGAAAGGAGTGAAAAGCCCCTAGAGGTCTGGAGGAGAAGGAGGCAGAAGGAGCTGGTGGAATCCGGATAGTGTGTCATATACACGCATGATGATATAAATTTGGAGGTGAGAGTTCTGTGAGCACAGAGGTGGAACTGTATTGTGCGAAGTCAACACAGAGCACATATATTTTGGTGTTGGACAATCACACACTTATATGTGGACTTTATGAACTGATGCACTTATATACACTGCTCAAAAAAATTAAAGGAACACTTTGAAAACACATCAGATCTGAATGGGTATAAATCTCATGCTGGATATCTATACTGATATGGACTGGGTAATGTGTTAGGAATGTTAGGATGCCCCATCGTTTGATGTAAATGAAAATTATCAACATACAGGAGGACCGATTTCAAAGGCACCCCAAAAAGCAAAGTGAAAAAATGATGCAGCAGGCTAGTCCATTTTGCTGAAATGTCATTGCAGCAACTCAAAAAATGGTACTCAGTAGTGTGTATGGCCTCCACGTGCTTGTATATATGCCTGTCAACATCACGGCTTGCTCCTAATGAGATGACAGATAGTGTCCTGGGGCATTTCCTCCCAGATCTGGACCAGGGCATCACTGAGCTAATGGGCAGTCTGAGGTGCAACCTGGTGGCATCAGATGGACCAAAACATGATATCCCAGAGGTGTTCTATTGAGTTTAAGTCAGGCAAGCGTGAGGACCATTCAATGGTATCAATTACTTCATCATCCAGAAACTGCATACTCTCACCACATTAAGGCCAGGCATTGCCGTGCACCAGGAGGAACCCAGGACCCACTGCACCAGCGTAGGGTCTGACAATGGGTTCAAGGATTTCATCCTGATACCTAATGGCAGTCAGGGTGTCATTGCCTAGCCTGTAGAGGTCTGTGAGACCCTCCGTGGATATGCCTCCCCAGACCATCACTGACCCACCACTAAAACGGTCATGCTGAACAATGTTACAGGTAGCATAACTTTCTCCAGCCCCTTTCACGTCTGTTACGTGCGCAGGGTGAACCTGTTCTCATCTGTGAAAAGCACAGGGCACCAGTGGCGGACCTGCCAATTGTTCAATTGCAAATGCCAGTTGAGCTCTATGGTGCCGGGCAGTGAGCACAGGGCCCACTAGAGGACATCGGGCCCTCAAGCCACCGTCATGAAGTCTGTTTCTGATTTTTTTGGTCAGAGACATTCACACCAGCGGCCTGCTGGAGGTCATTTGTAGGGCTCTGGCAGTGCTCATCCTGTTCCTCCTTTCACAAAGGTGCAGATACCGGTCCTACTGACGGGTTGAGGACCTTCTACGGCCCTGTCCAGCTCTCCTAGAGTAACTGCCTGTCTCCTGGAATCTCCTCCATGCTCTTGAGACTGTGCTGGGAGACACAGCAAACCTTCTGGCAATGGCATGTATTGATGTGCCATCCTGGAGGAGTTGGACTGCCTGTACAACCTCTGTAGGGTCCAGGCATCGCCTCATGCTACCAGTAGTGCCACTGACCCTAGCCAAATGCAAAGCTAGTGAAAATCAGTCAGAAAAGATTGAGTAGGAAAAAAAATATCAGTGGCCTCCACCTGTAAAACCATTCCTGTTTTGGGGGTCGTCTCATTGTTGCCCATCTAGTGTACCTGTTGTTAATTTCATAAACACCAAAGCAGCTGAAACTGAGTAACAACCCCCTCTGATACTTAACTGGTCAGATCAATATCCCAGGAGTTTAACTGACTTGATGCTATACTCTGATTAAAGAGTGTTCCTTTACATTTTTTGAGCAGTGTAATATATATGTTAAAATGCAATAGATATTTATTCACTTGTTTATACTGTATGTTAATTTAGTTATGTGCAAGCGATATACACAATAAGGGTATTAGAGCAGCATCATCTACCAGATTATTCACTTCACTTAATGTGGGTACACATTTTGATGCTAGCAGCAGCAGCAATAGTCATTTAAAGGGGCATACACTTGTATGTAATGTCACGTTCATTGAATAGCATAATCAGTTTTAGGTAGGGCAGGAGTTTCACTATATAATTTCGATCAGTCTATGGCCAGGTTTAGTCCTGTAGTCAGACCCCTGTCTTAGTCCTAAAATAAGTGAAACTGGCATAGAGGGTTTTCAGACTAACAAGGGTAACAATAGACATCTTGTTGTGTCTTGCCTGCTCCTAACATGATGTTAAAACATTTATAATGGCAGACAGGCTCATTTCAATACATTTTTTCCTGATACCGTGAAAAAGAAAATCAAAAAGTATATTTTCACAGAACAAAAAAAATCTTTATTTCTCAATTCTAGTTTACTGATCATAACTGCCAGGACAGTAAAGACACAGTTAGCAATGGCAAACACAGCTCCCCATGCCTCTCAAAGAGTGCTGACATTATTATAAAATTGCATCAAAAAAGGTAAGCAGCAGTTTTTAAATATTTTTAAATTATGCTATGTGGATGAGAACATGTACCAAATTAAAGTAAATACTATGCAAAAAGTGGAAACACACTTTAAAAACAGAGATTGTACAAGAAGAGAATCAAACAGGGCAAATCTTTGGCGTGCTTTAAAGATGTGCACTGTGTTTAGCTTGCTTTGGGACTTTGAAACAAGCAGAGAACAATTAAAATGAATGAAAAAAAGCTGAGACAAAAGCCTGGCCATGCAGCCCATCACTGTCAAGTGACTGGGCCTCTCCTCCAACCACAGACTTCTCTGTGCAGCATTTATTCCATCATACACTGCAGTCTCTAGACCAGGGGTCTCCAAACTGCGGCCCGCGGGCCGGATGTGGCCCTTTGCTTGCTCTTATCCAGCCCTTGGGGAACTTTTCCTTCCACTCATTCGAATGACTATTCCTTCCATTGACACAAACCACGGGGAGTGATTATTCCCACTAAAACCAATGATGGAAGACTAGTCGTCCCACTGACCCAAACGACGGGGCGCTGTTCCTCCCATTGACAAGGCCCAGTTCCTCCCACTGACACCAGTGACGGGGCCCAGTTCCTCCCACTGACACCAGTGACGGGGCCCAGTTCCTCCCACGGACACCAGTGACGGGGCCCAGTTCCTCCCACGGACACCAGTGACTGGGCCCAGTTCCTCCCACGGACACCAGTGACGGGGCCCAGTTCCCTCCCACGGACACCAGTGACGGGGCCCAGTTCCTCCCACGGACACCAGTGACGGGGCCCAGTTCCTCCCACGGACACCAGTGACGGGGCCCAGTTCCTCCCACGGACACCAGTGACGGGGCCCAGTTCCTCCCACGGACACCAGTGACGGGGCCCATTCCTCCCACGGACACCAGTGACGGGGCCCAGTTCCTCCCACGGACACCAGTGACGGGGCCCAGTTCCTCCCACGGACACCAGTGACGGGGCCCAGTTCCTCCCACGGACACCAGTGACGGGGCCCAGTTCCTCCCACGGACACCAGTGACGGGGCCCAGTTCCTCCCACGGACACCAGTGACGGGGCCCAGTTCCTCCCACGGACACCAGTGACGGGGCCCAGTTCCTCCCACGGACACCAGTGACGGGGCCCAGTTCCTCCCACGGACACCAGTGACGGGGCCCAGTTCCTCCCACGGACACCAGTGACGGGGCCCAGTTCCCCCCCCTGACACCAGTGACGGGGCCCAGTTCCTCCCACTGACACCAGTGACGGGGCCCTGTTCCTCCCATTGACACCAGACATGGGGAACTAATTATCCCACTGACACCAATGATGGGGCACTGTTCCTCCCACTGACCACCAAGCCTAGGGTATTGTTTACGCCCACTGATGCCAGGGCATTTTCCATTCCCACTGACCACAATCCAGCCCCCATAAAGTTTGAAGGGCAGTAAACTGGCCCTTTGTTTCAAAAGTTTGTAGACCGCTGCTCTAGACCATGGCCTGTATTTTATGAATCAAATTTAAAGGATAAAGTTACCCTTAAAAAAATAAAAATAAACAAACATACATGTTTTTGCATGTTAAAAAATGTGCATTTATTAAAATGTTTAACAATGGAGCCTGTGCATTGAGAGGATCCACATGAAGGGGGGGGGGGGGGGGGGGCAGGCAGGTGCTGTATAATAGCATGTTACACTCTAAATATAAGTGTAACGTGCTACAAAAAGGTGAACCTTTAAAAATGCAGGCAAAGTGTGGAAAAACTTTCTGTTGTATAGCAGAGTGGTATCCTATTTCTACTTTAAATACCTCCATAGTATTTAGGGAAATCTAGTTTACAAATTTAAAAAAATGTGGATATGAAAATAGGGTAACCTCTTGAATTTGAAGATTTGGAAAGGATTCTTCATGAGTAAGTGTTATTTTTGATTCCTCCTCTTCTCTTTTCTGTTTCCTCTCCGTTTTGCTACGGCTTCTTTGCTCATCTTCTTCCTAGAAAAGAAAATAAATAAAAAGAACCGGTATGTATTGTGCAGTGAAACGGCATGACCAGCTTGATTTTTTTATTTCTAGTTTCAGAGTAAAAGGACCTTTTGTCAGGTTTAAAATTCTGTCTGTGTGCCCATTAACGAAATTTACCTTACCCTCCTAAAGCAGCATCTGTGGAATTTCAGTCCACTAGACACTAACGTGAGGGGAAATATCCCTATTAAAGATAAAGACAAAAAGCAAAAACTGCAACACATTTTCTTAAAAAAGACTTGTAAATTTTGTTTATACATAACAAATGTAAATAATAGTTTCATTCTCTAATATACAGTTGTGTTCAAAATAATAGCAGTCAGACATCACTAACCTGATCAATCACTGTTTTTGGTAGGAATGATATTTCTACATGGCAAATAATTTACTAGCAGGTGTAGTAGAGTAATAGAAATCCAACAGACCCAACAGTGATGACATGCATGCTGCTGATTCTGTGGAATTGAATCACTAATTGAAAGGGGCATGTTCAAAATAATAGCAGTGTGGAGTTCTATTAGTGAGGTCATTCATTCTTTGAAAATCAGGTGGCAATTATTGCCCTTATTTAAAGGAAGGAAGGCAGCAAATGTTGTACTTGCTGGCTACAGTGCATTTCTCTCTGAAATTCTGAGGAAAATGGGTCATTCCAGACATTGTTCAGAAGAACAGCGTACCTTGATTAAAAAGTTAATTGGAGAGGGAAAACATATAAAGAAGTGCAGAAAATGATAGGCTGCTCAGCTAAAATGATCGCAAATGCTTTAAAATGGCAACTAAAACCTGAAAGACATGGAAGAAAGCGGAAAACTACCATTCGAATGGATAGAAGAATAGCCAAAATGGCAAGGACTCAGCCAACAATCAGCTCCGGGAAGATCAAAGAAGGTCTAAAGTTACCTGTAAGTACTGTTACAATTAGAAGACGCCTATGTGAAGCCAAGCTACAGTGAGGAACAGAAGTATTTGAACACCATGCGATTTTGCAAGTTCTCCCACTTAGAAATCATGGAGGGGTCTGAAATTCACATTGTAGGTGCATTCCCACTCTGATAGACAGCATTAAAAAAAAAATGTAGAAATCACATTGTATGATTTTTAAAGAATTTATTTGTCTTGCACTGCTGAACATAAGTATTTGAACACCTAAGAAACAGCAAGAATTCTGGCTCTCAAAGACCTGTTACTGTGCCTTTAAAAAGTCCACCTCTACTCCACTCAATCTAACTTAGTAACACCTGTCTGAGCTCTTTAAAGACACCTGTCCACCCCACAAGTCAGTCAGGCACCAACTACTACCATGGGTAAGACCAAAGAGCTGTCAAAAGACACCAGAGACAAAATTGTGGACCTCCACAAGGCTGGAAAAGGCTACGGGGCAATTGCCAAGCAGCTTGGTTAAAATAGATCAACTGTTGGAGCAATTGTTAGAAAATGGAAGAGGCTAAAGACGACTGTCAGTCTCCCTCGGACTGGGGCTCCATGCAAGATCTCACCTCATGGGGTATCACTGATAATAAGAAAGGTGAGGAATCATCCCAGAACTACAAGGGAGGAGCTGGTCAATGACATGAAGAGAGCTGGGACCACAGTTTCAAAGGTCACTGTCAGTAGAACACTACGCCGTCATGGTTTCAAATCATGTATTGCACGGAAGGTTCCCCTGCTCAAGTCATCACATGTCCAGACCCGTCTGAAGTTTGCCAATGACCATCTGGATGATCCAGAGGAGGCATAGGAGAAAGTCATGTGGTCAGATGAGACCAAAGTAGAACTTTTTGGTCTAAACTTCACTCGTCGTGTTTGGAGGAAAAAGGATGAGTTGCATCCCAAGAACACCATCCCTACTGTGAAGCATGGGGGTGGTTACATCATGCTTTGGGGGTGCTTTTCTGCGAAGGGGACATGACGACTGCACTGTATTAAGGAGAGGATGAATGGGGCCATTTATTGTGAGATTTTGAGCAACAACCTCCTTCCCTCAGTCAGAGCATTGAAGATGGGTCGTGGCTGGGTCTTCCAACATGACAACAACCCGAAACACACAGCCAGGATAACCAAGGAGTGGCTCCGTAAGAAGCATATCAAGGTTCTGGAGTGGCCTCGCCAGTCTCCAGACCTAAATCCAATAGAACATCTTTGGAGGGAGCTGAAACTCCATGTTGCTCAGCGACAGCCACGAGACCTGACAGATCTAGAGGAGATCTGTGTGGAGGAGTGGGCCAAAATCCCTGTTGCAGTGTGTGCAAACCTGGTCAAGAGCTACAAGAAATGTTTGACCTCCGTAATTGCAAACAAAGGCTTCTGTACCAAATATTAACACTGATTTTCTCAGGTGTTCAAATACTTATGTTCAGCAGTGCAAGACCAATAAATTCTTTAAAAATCATACAATGTGATTTCCTGAATTTGTTTTTTAAATTCTGTCTGAGAGGGGATGCACCTACAATGTGAATTTCAGACCCTTCCATGATTCCTAAGTAGGAGAACTTGCAAAAACGCAGGGTGTTCAAATACTTCTGTTCCTCACTGTATCTGCAAGAAGCCCCCGCAAAGTCCCACTGTTGAAAAAAAAAACACGTGCTGAAGAGGTTACAATTTGCCAAAGAGCACATTGACTGGCCTAACAAGAAATGGCGCAACATTTTGTGGACTGATGAAAGTAAGATTGTTCTTTTTGGGTCTAGTGGCCGGAGACAGTTTGTCAGACGACCCCCAAACACTGAATTCAAGCCACAGTACACTGTGAAGACAGTGAAGCATGGTGGTGCAAGCATCATGATATGGGGATGTTTCTCATACTACGGTGTTGGGCCTATTTATCGCATACCAGGGATCATGGATCAGTTTGAATACATCAGAATACTTGAAGAGCTCATGCTGCCTTATGCTGAAGAGGAAATGCCCTTGAAATGGGTGTTCCAACAAGACAACGACCCCAAACACACCAGTAAACGTGTAAAATCTTGGTTCCATACCAACAAGATTGACATTATGGATTGGCCAGCCCAATCCCCGGATCTTAATCCAATAGAAAACTTGTGGGGTGACATCAAAAATGCAGTTTCTGAGGCAAAACCAAGAAATAGAGAAGAACTGTGGAATGTAGTCCAATCATCCTGGGCTGGAATACCTGTTCACAGGTGCCAGAAGTTGGTTGACTCCATGCAACACAGATGTACAGCAGTTCTCAGAAACAGTGGTTATATAACGAAATATTAATTAAGTGATTCAAAGGAAAGCAAAATCTTCAAACATTTTTCAGTTTATATAGTGAATGTTTGAGTTTGTAAAGAAGAATACAAACACTGCTATTTTTTTGAACAGTCTAATATTCACTTTTCTTCAATTTTTTTTAGAGGAACAACACAAATTTGATCTATTTTTCTTCATGTTTTGATTTGGAATATAATGTGTAGTGTTCCCAATGCATTTGTGTGTATGGAAATAAAAGCTATTAGAAGGATTTTGAGATTTATTCACTTTTTTCAACACACTGCTATTATTTTGAACACAACTGTATATATATATATATATATATATATATATATATATATATATATATATGTTACATCTGGGAGCGTTAAAGCCAAACTCTAAATGTATACAGTCTGTCCTAACATTATCAATATTGATCATATTGACATTTTCTTTTCTGTTCACAGCTTTGGTGTTCTCTGCCTGACAGAGGCAGCCTTATGCAGCCCATAGACGGTTCGTTTTATCGGCCGATTTTTCGTACAAAACATTGGTCGTTCTGTTGCCACCAATGATTGAGAAAATTGGACGTTTTTCACAAATTTTCCAGCATGACCGATAAAAGATATGAGGAGGAACCGCGAAAATCGGCCAATGCCATTGCCCCACTAACAGTGCGAAATTCGGCCGATTATTCTTTCGAACAAAAAATTGGCTGATAAACGAACAGTCTATGGCCTGCATTACTCAGGCTGTAGACCGTTTACCAATAATTAGAAATTGCTCACAGCCTCCAGATTACTCCTTTTACAAGCTTTCATTTGTATAGCTATCAATTGTATTTTGTTTCCTTACTGGGATTTGTTACCTATATATGAACAGATACTTTGTTTGCAGCCAGCTGCTACACAGCAACTCTCGGGAGCAGTTTTTTTATACTCTGGTATTTTATTTTATCAACAGGTTTTATTTCTAATTTACCTTAGTGAGGAGCACCAGACTTTAAATTTTTTTTTTTTGTTTTTTTTTCATCAGCAAAATGGTGGCAGTCTGCACACAGACACTGACTCCCTGTTGCATACTATGAATGATATGGGTAAAAGATGGCTATAGCTGCTTTTCTCCATCTGTAGAGAACGCAGACGCGTTTCATCCCTTTTTGGGGCTCTATGATACAGGATTATGTTGAAGTCTACTATAGCCTGACAAGCTGATCCTATCTGTCTTGCACCAATCTATTCACATGATGCTCTGACTAACACAGGTTTGGGGGGCATAAGAGTGGTACAACTTTCAATGTTTTGGATTATCAATATTGTACTACATTTTGCTTCTCATATCAAAGTATACTTTTCGCCCTCTTTATATAACTATTGTAGATCCTATTTATAAAAATAATAAAGTGTAGAGCTACATCCAATATATTAAAACATTTTTTAGTCACATAATGTAGCTTTAATAACAATCTAAATTCAAATGTACTATGCCTAATCCTACACCATCAGTGCTAACTTCAAAGATTCTCAAAAAATCTTATGTATAAGCGGCTTTCCGTGGAGACACCCACTGTAGAGGAGGAGCCTGAAGAGCCGGCAGGGGACCCCAGCTTTAAACTATGTATAAAAAATTTGCTCTGCGAATATGTCACTCATTGAGCTCCACGATTCTTCACCGTAATATTACGAACACCAATATCCGTGCTGATGATCCTAGGACGTCCATCCACAGATGAATCTTTCATGTATAAAAATGTTCATTATGACCACTTCACATGGAAAGCATTTGCAGCACTTGAAAATAAGGAATCCACAGATAATGCAGATAATCACTTTTATGTACTGGATGAAGCCCTTACCCTCTGATACTTATTTTTTTATTAATAGGATCTAGAGCAGTCACATAAAGAGGGTAAAATATTGTTGTGTAAGTTGATATCAAAAGTAAATTACATTACAGCCTTAATCTAGGTAGTCAGTGTTGCAGTCTCTCTTTTGGTTGTTTTTTATATCAACTTAGATTACACTACAGTATCAACATGCTAGCTTTACCACATCTATGAATGACAGTCTTAAGCAGCCTCAGTGATATATACCAGGTCTTTCTTTTTCTTTTCCTCGACTTGTCGTAGCTGTTCTGTGGTCAACACAGACTCCATGCGCTTCATGTCTTGCATCATCAAACGCTGGGACTCAAGGAACTGATCATTGGCCTTCTGCCATGTATGTTTCAGCTGATTGTGTTGTTGCCTCTCTTGTTCTAGCAGATGACAAACTATCCCAGAGAAAAATCAATGAACAGTTACCCTGATAACATGGAATGGCACAGCGTACAGATAAGCATTACAGACATATGTTCACAAAATGCCATACATAAGAACAAAACGGTTCTGTAAATTATAATCAAAGTTGGTACTTGTTACTCTGCTATTATAAACAAAGTAAATCAACACAAATGTAAGGCCTAAATCTAAATAAATTTGGACCAACGTATTAAAAACAGTTCTGATTCAAGATATGATGATTTCAGTTTAGAATACCAATATTTTTCATAAAGCAGGATTCTACTCACAGAATAAATGAAACTATTTTATGTACCATTATAATAAAAGTGTGTTTTTTTTTTTATTCACCTTCATGTAACTCTTTCCTTAGCTTTTCAGCATCTTCTTGAAGGACAGACTTTTGAGTATTTAAAACAGCCACATACATCTCTAAGTCTGTCCGGCAGGATTTTTCAGCTTCCAGGTAATGATTCAATTCCTTCACCTGACAAATTTAAAAACACAACATAAATTTTATTCTAATAAACAGAGACATGCTTAATTTTTGTACTCAATGTAAAATTCAGTAATTCAGCAACTGTTTTACTGTAGTTAACAGGACAAATAAGTAACATAAAATGGAGGACTGCCAACAACTCAGCTGTCTGAAGGACCTTACAGCCAAAGCTGGCGTTAGATGAAACTTTAACATCCAACTGGTATAACTTTGAAAATGAATGAACAGAAGACCAGGTGATAGCCCTCAAAATCTGGGGAAACTTTAGCCTGAAATTGAAACGTCCAAGAGAGAGTATTGACAGAAAAAAAAAGGTGGAAATTGATCCTTGAGGATCTGCGCAGACTGCTAGTGCCCTATAAATCCTGTTTAACAAGAATAATAACAATGAATTATTATCTGTCAGAGCCACTGAGTGAATGGTGATTCAAGAAACAGGTTACCCTTTAGGGGGACCAACAGGACTGACAGAAAGAGTCAGTCTTTGTAATTGAAGCAGTAGTTGTGAGGCAGATATGCGCAGCACCACCAAATCCTAGCAATGGAAGGACATCTGAAGAATTGGAGATGGAAGAACAATGTCCTTGTTAAAGTGAAAGGTCAAAACTACTTTGGGAAGGAAGAGCAGAATTGGGCAAATGGGACTGCCTTGTAAGAAACTACCATCAGTCCCAGAACTCTCATGCAATAATGAAGAATTGGGTGACTCTTGCACTGAAGATCAGGAATATGGGAGCAGAGAATCTGAAGCTTCTCCTGAGGAAGAAAAACTGTGGTTTGAGCTGTGTCTAGGAAAAGATCCAGATATTCCAAGCAATGATTCAGTTCCAGCACTGATTTCTGAATGTTCAGTACCCAGCAGAAAATCTGGACAGTTTAGCTACACTGTCAGCCAGAATTTGCACCAACTGCTCCCACAAATGGGAGTGCCTTGGGAACATACCAAGGCCGGTATGGGGCAAGAATGGTAAACACTCAAGGTGCAGAGAATAAGCAAAATTACAAGACCACCAAATAGAAGTGCTGGAAGGATTTGCTGATGCGGAAAAAAAACAATGCAAACTATGCATCCTTTATGTCAACAAAGGCCAGAAGGTCTTCCTGATAGAGAGAAACTAACAGACTTGGTTACATTCATGCAGAATGGGCCATTTAGGGCTTCGAGATCAAAGATGGGGAGACTATCCCTTTATAGTTTTGGAACTGCAAAAAGGTCGGATTAGAACCCTTGGTATTTTCTGCTAAAAGTACTGGGACGATCACTATTCACACCAGAAGTCATGTGAGAGTTGCGTGGCAATCAGCCGATATGTGTGGTGACACAGGCAGGTTGGCAGACATAAAACAATAGAGTTGGCTGGGAGCAGAATTATAGTTTGAAGGACTCTGAAGTCGAGGGTCTGCAGGTAGACTAGGGAATGGGCTTGGAGGCCAAGGCCTGAGAGTAACGAAAAAGGACTTTTCTTGCTCTCAAAGGAAGGATGAGCCATTCTGGGCTGAGCTTCAAGCTTTCTTTTGAGCCCTACAACAGATAGCCCCAGGTGGCATCCTTAAAGAGTTATTGAATCTCAATATGCATAGCAGGTGCTTTTTGTATACTAGTTCCACAGACCAACACAAATACAGTCTCTCTCTGTTACTCTGGGGAGGCTCATATGGGAAATTACAAAAAGACCTGTTGGCGCAGTAGTTTCAGGCTGCAGGTATGGGCTCCAGATGCTCTTTAGTTAAATGGTTTACTCACTGTAAAGGCTTTGTTAGGAGAGGATGCTGCAGGATCCATAGCGAGGGCAGTCTATTAACTAGGTTCCAATAAAACAGGTACAGGCCTGCCAACAGCTTGGAAGAAGTGAACAGCTTGTTAGGATTCTTCTAGTCTCTTTAAAGGATGGCTGGGAATAGCAGGTGTACCAGAAAGTTCTTGTCAGTCCTTAGAGCCTAGTGAAGCCTAGACTGGGGGCAGCACATTAGCAATAGAAGCTGCAGGCTAATCAAGTAGCAAGAACCTAGTCAATAAGCACTGAGAGGGTTTAGGTCTGGGAATGATGGGCACTGCCCTGCAACTCCTCAGGTATAGCATCATCCACACTCAGTGACTGAATGCTCGTAGGCGATTAATGCCACAGGAAAATTAGAGAAGGATTCTGTGGGGAAAGGCATGAAAGCATACTTATAGAGCTCAGGAGGGTGCTAAGCCTGAAGGAGCTAGAGAAGGCTCAGCTGCTGGTAGCAGAAGAGATTTAGAAGGGTGGAAGTGACCAGGTCACTGTAGGAGAGTAGGACAGATTTATGTGTCACTTATGAATGAAAGGAAAGAGTGCAGGGCATGTAGGCATGACACTCCACCCAATGTTCAGTTCCTTAGCATTAATCCTGTCCACATGAACCAATGGAGTGGGAGTTTCAGATGGTGTTCAATGACTAGTAACAAGGTAGCTCCAACAGCTCTGCCCATATGGCCTACTCACAAAGTGAGTCTTCAGAGACAAGGTCAAACCTAGGGCTGTGCTATAGCTCTGGACCTCAAAAGCGCCCCACTACTATTTATTTAAACAGAGTACACAGAGGTCTGGAAAGTTCCAAAATGCAGTGCCCAGTAGTCACATTCCATATACTGGGCTGGTGACATTTTTTTTGGTTTGTTTGCCACGGTCCAATCCTGATGTAGATGGTAGTATAGCCAACAGTCTCTGAATTTGTGTGTACCTCGAACAAGAAAGAAAGATGGCTTCTTGTAATTACCTTAAAACTCAACTTAAGCATATGATACAAGAGCAAAGAAGGGGGAGGGGAGCAGTGTTATTGGGACAGGAAAAAACAGCCAGCAACTACAGGAACTACAGCATTGTGGACTACCACTGCCGACTTCTTATCCTGTAAATGTAATTTGCTCGACTTCTAAGCAGACCTCCTGGTTTGAATACTTTGAGCCACTGTCTTATAACTATTAAGTACTTTTGATTTTACGCTGACTTCCCTGATATGCATACTTATTCCTGGTATATGAATCACGAGGTCAGTATGATAGGTAAGGGAACTAGCATTTTCAGAAGGAACACCTACATTATTTCAGTATATATTTACTTGACAGAGCTTATAAATAATCGTCAATCTATTTTTAAAAAAATTGTCCCTGTGTCAGTATGGGGAATATCTACATAGCTGGGACACAAAAAACAAAAACGTAACCCTTCCTCAGTCCGTGCAAAAAAGACCACAGGTAACCTGGAAAAAAGACGGCACTGTAATAAACATAAATGTATTAATAAAGTTGTATTTTTGTTTAAGGACTCGGCCTAAATACCCCACCTTCCACACTCACATCTTTTGCTTAAATTCTTCACTACAAGGCCATTAAAACTTCAATACATGTGTTATATTTAATTGCATAGATATGTTCATTTAAACTCTTATTGAAAACTTTCTAGTTTAACAGTCTTAAAATATTAAAAATTCTCAAGTGTAGATAAAGCCCAACTGCAGCCAACCTTTTTAGGTTTAAACACAGTGAGCAATGAGGTTCTGGCAGGAGTTTAAGACCTATAGCTATACTACAATTCAAATAATTAAATTTGTAAACCTTAGATGCTTCAAGCTCCTTGATCTTCTCCTCCGCTTCTGACAACTTCTCCTTTAATGTTCCAATCTCTTTTTCCATGGGCATCACTACGGAACGCAGCTTTTCTGCATCCTCTTGAGCCTGTGATCAGAACGAATCCATCATACATAAGAAAAAAAAAAAAAAAAAAAAACACCACTATGACAAGATGCCGAATGCTGTAACAGGATTTTTTGTTGCTCACCATAACATCCCTTTCTCATTGAGTTCATTGACGGACACATCGTCTTCTTTATCCATGACAAAGCAGGGTTTTATAGCCCCACCTTGGACACTAGGCAGAAAAAGGACTCTCCGCCTCCTACGGGCAGTCCCCTCTGGGTATAAAACCCCTTCTCTGCTATAGGCCAGCTGTGACGATCGCGGCGTCAGACCACAGCCCTTCTCACCAAACTCGTGACCGAAGGACTAGCCGATCTAAAACCGTGCTGTCACGTGCGTAACAATGCCACGCCCAGCTGCACCCTGCACAAAGATTTTCCAGCTAATGAACCACAATCTGTGTACTTGCAGCCTGGGAGCGATTGTTACTGGGTCAGGTTAATTACGCAATTAACCCTTCACACTGGCATCACCTCCTTTTTGTACACAGAAAGAAACTTGGCAATATCAGCAAGAACACTATGATGTTGAATAATCGTCTGTATACCACTGTCACCGCAGGCAGAGATATACAGAAGTTTAAAACACACAGTAGCGCTCTTCAGAGGCAGGGATTCTTAGTTTGCATTAAAGAGCTTTAGAGAGACAGTTCAACACTTTCAGAAAGTAAGATTTATTAATAAAAAGTCAAAAGGGTGCAATAAAGATATTTACAGAAAAAGATGTAGCGCATATATATATATATCTATCTATCTATCTATCAGGGCCCTCGAATCCCTCGTTTATTGTATTGTATTGTTACTGTGCTGTCTCGTGTACTGTCTCCCATTATAATGTACATCGCTGAGCAAACTGTTGGCGCTATATAAATACTGTATAATAATAATAATACTTGCCAAAAGCCTTGGTTTAAGCAGCTTTCAAGTTTCAGAGCAGAAGGGTGCCTTATCTCCCAAAGTTGGTTCCTGATGTTAAAAGGGAGATTTCTTCAACTTAGCTCAACTCAGCTTTTTTTAGCTTCAAGCATAACAGCCTTTTTCCAGGAACTCAGCAGGGTGTCTCCCTGAACCAGAGAACCAATCGCCTCATTTGGGGAGGGAGTTGTAGGCAGGAAGCTCAGGCTCTGACCAAATTATACTATGGTCAATAACTTTTCCTAGGTACATTTAACATTCCACCCACGGGTAGATTAATACACAGAATCATCTGCAGAATGTCTAGATATGAAATATGACATACCTGCTAGGACGGTTAAGGAGATGTTATTTTCTGCTCTCCTGGAGCTGTCAGCTAGGGGGTGTAATATATCAGGCGATTTGTATTAAAGTGAGCCATCCGAATATGTGCTCCATGTTTGTGTAATTATTTCCTATTTGGAGATATAAAATTATATGGAAAACTGGGTTTTTAAATGTAAGTCTGTTTCACAGCTAGCTGGAATGTCTTTTAAAGCTCAGTGTGGGCTCGGTTTATGGCTTTACGATATCGCAGATTCAGCAGCTAACAGACATCTAGGCACCAGCTAGGTTAGGATTTTATAGTCCTGAAGCTCTCCCGCTGAGCTTGACTGCCTGTGACCTCTGCCTCATCCAGACCACATCACTCAGAGAGGGAGAGGGGATGAGGGAAGAGGGAGAGAGAGATACAAGATGGAGGGTTTGGAGCAAAATGGAAGACCGTGTCCATCTCTGTGTGCACGATTGCTACACCAGCCTCCAGTCATTCACAAGCAGTGTCAAAGTAGAAATCTCCCTAGAAGTGTGCGTGCTGTGTTAATCAATGAACTCAAAGAAAGGGATTTTACAGTAACAAAAAATCCCGTTTTCTCTTATGTTCGACGGACACAGCTTCTTATTTATCCATTACCAAGCAGGTATGTACCCAAGCAGTGTCATAATGAGGGGCAGGGAACCCAAATAAACAATGGAGAAAAATCCCAGGGCAACATGCCACAAAGGAGTGCCCAGGAATCCTAAACAGCCACCTGCAACACTTTGTAGCCAAAACTAGCATTAGAAGATGCCAACACATCTACTTTAGAACTTAGTAAACGTGTGCAGAGACGACCAGGTCTCCGCAAAGCAGCTGTCACAGACAGGTACACACAAATTGTGCAAACCACATCCAAGCAATGCAGGGCCACCTCCTTAGGGTGCACTAGACGAGGACACAGGGAAGGAAGGACAATATCCTCATTTAAGTGAAAATCCGACACCATCTTTTGCAGAAAAGAAGGGGGAGGTCAAAGTACCACCTTGTCCTTCTGCAAAACCATATAAGGTGCCTTTCAGGACAAAGCCGCCAACCTAGACACTCACCGTGCAGAAGTGATAGCGACAAGGATGGCAGCTTGTTGCAAAAGTGTAAGCAAGGGTATATCCCGAATGCTCTCAAAAGAAGGCTTCTAAAGAGTCAAAAGTACCAAGTTCAAATCCAAGGATGGCAATGGGGAGCGCACAGGTGGAACCACGTAACAAAACCCCTGAACAAAAGTGTGAACCAAAGAATGCGTAGCTAAGGGACGTGCCTCACACCCCCCTGAGCCCAGGCAAGCCATCCAAACCCAGGCATAGACACCTCCCCCAAGCAGCAGGACAGATCCCTGTAGCCCCAGACACCTGGGACCGCACCGGCAGGAGGGAAGGAGAGGCAGGCAGGCTGTGAGGATCTCAACACTACCAGGGCCTAGGAAACATGCAGGCACTTGGCCAGAGCCCACACCTACACTGTGAACCACAGAGTTCAGCGTCCCCACAGGCAGGTCACTGGTGGGAAGGGGGGTGAGAGCGGACCTCACAAGACCAACCAACCCAAGGAGTAACCACGCCCCAGTGTCCGGTGAAGGAGGAGAGTGGGCACTACTTACCAATCCAGCGGAGCTGGCGGGTGAGTCCCGTCACAGATCCTCCTCTCCACAAACGTGGGGGGCTGTTGGCCAGGGGTAACACTGAGACATGGACTATAGGCACCCGGTCATGTGTGTCCCTGTGAGACGTTTAAGTAGCTGGCCATCCCAGTCCAGGATGGGACATCGTCGTGGCCGACCGAGCGCGGAGCTGGCAGTCTATGTATGCTCACTGGTCAGACTAGGGTGAACACTAGGCATAGGTTATCCAGCCCATCACCCAGAACGACTGCTGATAGAAGATTTCCTTACAAAATTCCAAGAAACATAAAAAGGAAAAAAGAAAAGTCGTGGGCCCACAAGTCCCCACAGCAAAAATTCATGCGCACACTACTGAAGACACGAGGCAGAAATGACTAGAGGCCTATAGCAGAGAGGGGGTTTTATACCCAGAGGGGACTGCCCATAGGAGGTGCCGAGTCTTTTTTCGGCCTTGTGTCCTACGCCTGTAGGTGGGGCTAAAAAAAAAAAAAAAACCTTGCTTGGTCATAGAAAAAGAAGATGCTGTGCTTGTCAAACATAAGAGAAAATGTACTTATTGTTCTACATCCGATTTTCCTTTGCCTATTCATTTCATTATTTAATATAAAATATTCAAAGTTGTTACTGTAATCTGTACGCTGGCATACAGTGTGAAGTTTTTAAAAAAAACAAAAAAAAACGACTTAATATTTAATGTTATTCTGCATGAAAATAATATTAAGTAAAATTAAAGATATAAAACACCAGGATAAGGATCCTTATTAAAAAAACAAAACAAACACAAACAAACAAAAACACACACTTTATGTCAGAAAGTGATTTTGTTTACAGAGGATCGTGTTATGCATTCTTTATTCTGAGCTGAGCTAAGCACAATGTAAAACACACACACACACACAACAGATTAGTCCACTCTTTCACATGGGGTTCATTGGGAAGAACTTTCCGGAAAACAATACAGTGATCATGTGAACAACAAAGGCCAATTCTCAATGGAATTCATGATGAGCTATTGATATATGTGTACGCGGCAATATATTATATAAGTATTAATAAGGATAATCTAAGTATAGCAAGCACAGGAAGGATCATCTAAGCATTGCAGCAAGCACCTGGCAGGCCTTCTATAAGGATCGGTGCCAGTCTGTGAGGCAAGAACCCCCACATCTTCCTGTTAGCAGGGGAATGCATTTCCTCCTGACCCAATTCCAATGACAACTGGATACATTGTAAAAAGGAGTGTATCATTATATGTTTTTATTATTTCAAGATTTTTGTCTTTAACCACTTGCCCTCCTGAGGATTTACCCCCCTTCTTGACCAGGCCTCTTTTTGCTATACAGTGCTGCACTAATTTAACTGGTAATTGCGCTGTCATGCAATGCTGTACCCAAACGAAATTGATGTCCTTTTTTCACACAAATAGAGCTTTCTTTTGGTGTTATTTGATCACCTGTGTGATTTTTATTTTTCACACTATAAACAAAAAAAAAAAAAAAAACGAATATTTTCTTATTTCTGTCATAAAAAAATATCCAAAAAATTGAAATTTCATCATTAATTTAGGCCAAAATGTATTCTGCTACATGTTTTTAGCAAAAAAATCTGAAGAAGTGTATATTTATTGCTTTGTGTGAACATTATAGCATCTACAAACTATGGTATAGATAATGAAATTTACACAGCTTTTACTTTCTGACTGCCCATCACATTTCTTGAGGTGCTAAAATACCAGGACAGTAGAAACACACTCAAATGACCCCTTTTCAGAAATTAGACACCCTAAGCTATATGAGAGGCATATTGAGTCCATGGAAGATTTATTTTTTTTCCCCACGCGTCTTTGGAAAAATCACAAAAACATTTATTTATTTTTTACACAAAGTTGTCACTTAAATGATATATTGCTCACACAAGCCATGGGTATATGTGTAATTACACCACAAAAACCATTCTGCTACTTCTACCAGGTATAGGGATACCACGTGTGAGACTTTTTGGGAGCCTAGCCACATACAGGAGCCTGAAATCCAATGGCCGCTTTAAAAGCCTGAAAGTTCCTCATTACCTATCACAGTTTCGGAGGCCCTGAAATGCCAGGAGAGCACCAAAGGACCCTTTTTCTGAAAGTATAGAACCCAAGGAATAAAAAAAAAAAAGGCATGGTGAGCATTTTGCAGATCTCATTTTTTCTCACAAGGTTTTGAAATATATAAAAAAAAAAGAAAAAATATGTTTTCGTTTTTTCTTCATTTTCCAAAAACTTGTGGCAATAAACGAGATCTGCTAAAATTCTCACCATGCTTCTTATCAAATTCCTTGGGGTGTCTTCTTTCCAAAAAGGGGTCATTTGGGGCTTTGGTGCAGCTGCAGGCATTATCCTGGTATAACCAAAGTCCAGTGATATACCAGCACATCACTGGTTCTTGTTGGGTGTATATGCTATGTTTTTTTTTTTTTATGTGTGTGGATTTGCGGATTGGGCCACAGCACCTTCTAGATACAAAAGGACAGTGATGATCTTTTCCTGAAATTTTAGGAAGAATCCACTTTGTCCAGTTGCTTTGTAAATTACAAAAGCGTTATATATAGCCAATTGAAATAGACAGACACCTTTTTTTTACCAGCGTTGAGCTTTCCGGGAAACGAGGTATGGATTCATCATTTGGTTGTTGAAGTCCACCCTTCCCAAGTTAAGGTTATAGTCGTGGACACAAGAGGGGTGTCTCAACAACGCCAGATACCGTGTTAATTTGGATTGTCGCGTCTGCGTGAATGGAAAACAGGACGAAAACATCCTATTCGTCCTTCCACTTCACTGCAAGCAATTCATCATTCCCCAAGCAGGCTCTCTCCCCCTTTCTAAGTCAGATATTTACAAACCGTTGGGGGAAACCCTGGCGATTAGGTTGCATGGTGTCACATGAGCCAATTTCAAGATAGTACAAATGTCTAAATAGTGGCACGCTTGTATACAAATTGTCCATGTATAAGTGGTACACCTATGGAACAAACAATACCAAGTCCCAAGCTTTCTTGCCACTGCTCCCCGTGTAATCTGGGTAGTCAGGGGGTTCTACGTCGCTGTCTCTTCCCTCATAAACCCAAAATTTGTACATATAGCCTGTGGCCCTCTCACAGAGCTTATACAATTTGACCCCACATCTGGCACGCTTGCTGGCGATGTACAGTTACTGCAGAATTTGTGGGCTGCCAATCAGGATTTGCAATCACGTTCGGAAAAACACTAAGGGCTCTATGGGCCTGTGTGCGAATTCTTGGTGGCTGTGGGACACTACTTGTACTCGCCTCCGCACCAGCTTGTACTGCACTTATGGGACTCGCCACGTCACCAAGTGATACTGCAGTGCTGGTATAAAATAGACCAGGATGTACTAGGCCGCTGGTGCTTGCCAGTTCACCAAAAGGTAGTCTGACACTAGTACTGGTACTCTGCTGCATAAGAGACAAGTCATGCAATCCTAGCACTTCAGCTTCATGGGGTCGGGTATGCCTGATCTAAACAGGGACCTCTTCTCCATCGCTTGAGCTACTTGTCACGCTGCTGCTGTCTACAGGTTCATATTCTGAGACTGATTGTGTCAGTGAGTCTTCCCCTTCGCTCTCACCTGAAATGCTCAGCATCCTGTAGGCCTCTTCACTAGTGTACCTTTCATGGACATTTTGGACTCTAAATTTACAGGTACTTAGTGCGACTCATGGGGGAAAAAAAAGAGCATCTGGCTGTCAGACTGCTTGAACCGCTACAAAAAAATTTACCGGCCCAATTCTGTGAACACTGTGATGTTGTGTGCAATGTATTACAGGTGACTGTGATCAGAAATTATACTGACACTGCACTTCTTGTTAGGGGTGGGGGGGGAGCATTGGGGCTAAATGCTAGTGCTGGCAGCGAATGGGGAAGATCATGCCAACACTGTGTTTTTGGGGACACTAATATAGTTTTGTTCATGATCAATATATTGCTAGTGGCATCAATGCAGTGATCAGTGAAAAATGCTGTACATTGACACTGTACTAATGGCACTGGCAGGGTACACTCAAAGGGTTAAATGTGGCAATCAAGGGGTTAAAATGTCTAACGTGTGTGGGTGCAGTATGATGCTTTTACTCATGTGTGATGTCTTTCTTCTCTCTTTGGAACAAAAAACGGCTCCAGGGAGAGAAGAACCAGCTAGATCTTATGCCTGTATTTACAAATACAGGCACAGCTCTGCATTTCCATTCGCTGTAAGAGATCGGCAGAGTCCCGGCAAAAATCACTGGCCAAGACCTGCTGGCATACACCTCTTACAACGAATGACAGAGGGGGGATGTGTGCCTCCCCTCTCTAAACCCAAAAGAGCAAAGCTACCACCTGTCTGCAGTACATTGCGGGTGGGCGGTCAGGAAATGGTTAAGGAAACATTGTGAAACCCTCACCAACCTTTTTCATGTCATTTTCCAAGTTCTCTTCTTGTTGGCCTTCAGAAAGCCGCCTCCTAAGCTCTGCAATCTCTCTTTCCACAGAATCTCTGTACTGTCCCCACTGTGCACGCTCCTGCTCCAATCTGCGATGAAACCGAATTTCATATTCACCCACTGTGTCTATAATTGATGCAAACAAAACACTTTCATTCAATAACAGGAAAGAAAAAGAACAGATGCGATTTATGTTGCTGCTGCAAAGCTGACTATACACTTGTATATTTTCGTACAAACATTCGTGAAAAAATCCTCATCAGTACATTCAATAATGTCTACAGAGACTTGACAACTTCAAATTCTGTTGCTTTTACCATTTGATTATTGAATAAATGTAATTTCCCAAATGAACAAAAAATCCACTGTTAGAAATTTGTTAATGAAATATTTTCCATCCTGCTTTTTTTTTAATTTTCTTGTCATTTTAGTCGAAAATGATTTCATCCCACAAACTATTACCGAATCAAAATGAGGCTCCAAAAACAAAAATGTTGAAATGAAATTCTACAAGTGTATGGCCAGCTGAAAATGAAACAATGACTACCATATAACGGCATAGTACCAGACAGCAAACAGCATATCAAGCAGAACAGGACAAAATGTCAAGGAGTTCCAAGGTAGTTATTTTTACTTACCGTATTTGCCGGCGTATAAGACGACTGGGCGTATAAGACGACCCCCTACTTTTCCTGCTAAAATGTAGTGTTTGGGCTATACTCGCCGTATAAGACTACCCCTCTTCCAATGCACACCAGTGGGAGGAATAGTGCCCCATCATCGGTATCAGTGGGGGGAATAGTGCCCCATCATTGGCATTAGTGGCAGGAATAGTGCCCCATCATTGGCATTAGTGGGAGGAATTGTGCCCCATCATTGGCATTAGTGGGAGGAATAGTGCCCCATCATCGGTATCAGTGGGAGGAATAGTGCCCCATCATTTGTATTAGTGGCAGGAATAGTGCCCCATCATTGGCATTAGTGGGAGGAATAGTGCCCTATCATTGGCATTAGTGGGAGGAATAGTGCCCCATCATTGGCATTAGTGGGAGGAATAGTGCCCCATCATTGGCATTAGTGGGAGGAATAGTGCCCCATCATTAGTATCAGTGGGGGGAATAGGTGCCCCATCATCGGTATCAGTGGCAGGAATAGTGCCCCATCATCAGTATCAGTGGCAGGAATAGTGCCCCATCATCGGGCACCGCCTCCCTAAAAAGTGTCAGTATGCCGTATACCGGCGTATAAGACGACCCCCGACTTTTGAGAAGATTTTCAAGGGGTAAAAAGTCGTCTTATACGCTGGCAAATACGGTACTCTTTTTTTATTGTATACCAAAAAAATGAAGTTTCATACGACACAAGCTTTAGTTTTCAAGGTAATTAACTGAGAATTACTTGTAATGCTATAATGTTTTTAACCACTTCCAACCCAGCCTATTGTAAAATGAAGGCCGGGGCAGGAGCACTGTTATTCGGGAGGGACATCATATAACGTCCTCCCAGGATCGGGCCATGCACTGGCGCGAACGGTCACCCGCTGTGTCCACCACAAAAGTGTGAGAAACTACCATTTTTCTTTACATATATGTTGTTAGGTAAATACCGGTACATTCTGTAAAGACATAGAAGGTGAATTACACACCAGAGATCTATTTGTTACTGTTATCTGCACCTCAGAGGTGGCCCACTTTTACTCCTGAGTATTATATTTTCAAAAGTAGTACAAGTTATTTAAACAAGCAATATTGGGTTTTTTTTTCTAGTATGTGAAACCCAACATCATGATCATCAATGTTCATCCTGCTAAGTGATGGCAGAAGAGAAGCTACCCTGTTTGAGATCCAGCCAATAAACTACAGAAAAAGTTCGTAAACACCATAAGAAGAAGAAAGTGGAAATGTTAGCTTTTTATTAACAAAACGTTTAACAGGGACTACAAAACAGAAAAGTCCTTGAACCCTGGTTCACATTAATGCAAAGCGACACATTGCTTGTGATTCACACAGGAACCGCACCGAATTCCTGTGCAAATCACATGCGATGTCTGTGCGGTAAGATTTGAGCCATACATTTTGTATTGCTCAAATCGCATCCGCACCAAAAAGGAGCAGGACCCTTCTTTCCCCCCACACCTGATTCGCATTGCATGGGTATTCACATCCATGCGATTCGAATTATGGTAATCGCACTGCATCTTATGATCTGTTTCGGGGTGTTATTATTTAACATTGACACCAATACCAGATCGCATGGACGCCATGCGATTGCAATGCGGTGCAGGCGGCGCACAGGATTCGCTGTGTTTCCCGCACCGCATTAGTGTGAACAAGGGCTTAAAAGACAGTTGGAATTAAATTATAAAATTAATTTCACAAAGCAGTGTTCACACACATTGCCATTGATTTTCCATGGGGAACATGCCTGGGCCCAGACTCGGGGATTGCACATACAGAACACCCATGCTGAGAGGCTCCCCAGGCACATACAAGACATTCTCCTGACACAGGTATGTGCAGGCACATTCTGGTGAGTGCCCTTGGGGAAGTATATTGGTAATTATTTTTGTCTTCATGTTTGTTTTCTAGATGCAGCCTTCAGGTAAACCTGACAGCAACTACTGTTCCCAGCTACATACCTTTCATGATAGCTTGCAGAGATGCCACCTCTTCTTGCCATTGTTTCTTCACCTCATCAATGGCTTCCTGCTTAGTGTTCTCTGACACTGTAGCAATAGCTTTGATGTTTTCCATCTCTGCATGTGCTTCTGATAACTGGAGGTTCAGTTGAGCTATCTCATCTTGTGCAGCCTGTGCAGCGACATGCTGGCGCTTTAAATCCTCTGAGAGATTTATAAAAAAAATGAAAAAAATAAAATAGATATGGTTTAGTATAAAAAAAATTAATGATAAAAATCACTGAATTAAAGACAACAAAATGATTGGCAAAGGAGCAGCTGTACCAATGTATACTCATAAAGCAGCAATTTATAAAATCCTATGTGTAACCTTTAAAACTGAACTTTGGGGAGATACAAAGGACAAAATAGCACAGCTTTGTATCCTATTCTATCCTCAGGTTAACAAAAAGAACCCTTCAAACAGAAACAAAAGAAAATACATCAGAGTGCCTTTGTTTTTGCTTTCCATTCAATACTACTAACAATGAGTCAAGGAGTGCTCCCGCACCACCAGCCTACCATTCCCCGGCAGGATTCACCGGCAGACACTGCTCTTTCTCTGCTGCCGAGGTGATATTCAGCCTGCACATGGCTGACATGGGAAGTAGCTGCAAGGAGACCACAGCATGCAGACTCTTCAACATCCCATCTGACATCTCACAAGCCTCCACAGCCACTAATCTCTGTTGTCATCTGCACTATCTGAGCCACTGTTGCCTGCCATGCCGCTACCAACTCCACCCATAAAAGCCGCAGAGCACAGGCATAAACTATGGGGAGCTAAGGAAAAAGATAGCTTTGCAAACACTCCAACATCCCATCTGCCATGTTCCACATCTGCACAGTGATGCGGATCTGCCGACAATCTGTGCATATGTGGCAAGCATAACAGTGTTCATGGATGACACCCCACATTCTACTTTGCGTCACCATGTTCCCCATCCTCCCCTTTCACCAGCACCACCCTTTCTGCTGTATTCATGCTCCTCCCTTCACACATTGACAGAGTTGAATGCTACACTTCCTAACTTTTCTATTCTATCTTGTAGTAAACAGAAATGGAAACACAGGCAAACGTAGCACTGTGTCTACAAGGGTGCGCAAAAACTGGAAACATGCAAAATCCTCACATGCATAACAACCCACTGACCTGATGCTGTCCCTGACCACCTCGCTGCCTGCGGTCATCTAGCCCATTCTTGTGACCTTAACACATGCCGATATGCAGTCCTCTACAACCCCTGAATCCAAACCAGCCTACAGTCCTCTCCGACCCCTCAACCCATGCCAGCCTGTAGTCCACTCCGACCCCTCAACCCATGCCAGCCTACAGTCCTCTCCGACCTCTCAACCCAGGCCAGCCTACAGTCCTCTCCGATCTCTCAACCCAGGCCAGCCTACATTCCTCTCCGACCCTTCAACCCAGGCCAGCCTACAGTCCTCTCCGACCTCTCAACCCAGGCCAGCCTACAGTTCTTTCTGACCTCTCAACCCAGACCAATCTGCAGTCCTCTCTGGCCCCTCAACCCAGGCCAACCTGCAGTCCTCTCTGGCCCCTCAACCCAGGCCAACCTGCAGTCCTCTCTGGCTCTTCAACCCAGGCCAACCTGCAGTCCTCACTAGTCCCTCAACCCAGGCCAACCTGCAGTCTTCTCCTGCCCTTCAATCCATGCCAACATGCAGTCCTCTCTGGCCCCTCAATAAAGGCAACCTGCATTCCTGTCCACATCATCAATCCATGCTAACCTGCAGTCCTCTCCGGCCCCTCAAAAAAAATGCCAACATGTGGCACTCTCTAGCCACCTCAACTCATGCTGACAGGAAGCCTTCTCTGACTGTTTTGCCCTATGCCAAGATGCAGCCCTCTCTACCACCACAACCCCCTTGACATGCAACCACCAAAACAACATTGTCAAAAACATCCTAAGGGCTTGTGCCAATGGAATTTCTTTCATGTTAGAACTGAAATTTTCCCCATTCAAGTCAACAGGCAAAAAAAAAAGTAGCTAGCCTAGTATAACCTCTCCCACTTTCGGCATGCCTTAGTTTTGTAGAAAAGCAGTACCAGGAGTAAGACCATAAACACAAGAAAGGAGACCAGTATCCCTCAACAAACTCCAATAAATGGATTTTACAGCAAGTATAAAAGTCCCATTTTCTTTCTCTGAGACGATAAAGACGGCCTGTAAGATAGGAACAGCAGCAACAAAAAAAAAAAAAAAAAAAAATTACCAGGCTCACACAAAAAAAAAAAAAAAAAAAAAAAAAAAAAAAAAAAAAAAACTGGAGGATGCCTGCAGCTCAAACAGCTGCCTGAAGGACCTTACACACCTGAACCTGGCATCAATGAGGCTGAAACATCCACTTTGTTGACAAGTTCTCTAAGTTTTACAAAGGCCAGGTGTCAGCCTTGTAAATCTAGCAAATAGTTACTTAAAGTCCAAAAGCTAAATAGGCACTGATTTAGTAGAGTGTGCCTTCATAGAAAAGGGTGGAAAGCAATTCTTAGAACCATAAGAGGCAGAGAAAAAAACTCCCACTGCTAGCGCATCCAGGAGCAGTGAGTTTTGGCAAAAAAAAATAAACATTTCTTTTTATTTCTCTTTCATTCATTGATGGACACAGCCTCTTCTTATTTTCAACCATAGAATTTATAGCACCATCTACAGGAGTAGGACACTAGGCAGAGGAGAAAAAAAATAATTACAATTAAAATGAAACCTGTCATACTTACCTGTTCTGTGCAATGGTTTTGCATAGAACAGCCCCAATTCTACTCTTCTCAAGCTCCCTCCTGGCCACTCTGGGAACCTCCCCCTGATAATAGCCCCATAGCAGCTTTGCGATTGGGGCACTCATGTAGGCCCGCCCCAGCCTCTCCTCACTGGCTGTGAATGACAACAGTGGGATCCATTGGCTGTCTCTTAGCCAATGAGGAGGAAGAGAACCAGGAGAGCCTCTGCTCTCATGCACATTGGATTGAGATCAGGATAAGGTAAGTAAAAGGAGGGCTGGGAGGAGAGCAGGCCACAGAAGGTTTATTTATCTTAATGCATATAATGCATTAAAAAGGTAAAAAAAAAAAACCTCCTAGCTTTACAACCACTTTAAAGTGTATCTACACCCAAAAGCAAAATTTTATATAATGAGGTTTACCAGTCCTGTTGTGGGTGCATTAGATTTCTTTTTCCGACTCTTTTTCTATATTTTCACCTGGTGAAATTTCTAGGAATTCACTTTCTGTCCTAGAGTGACAACACTCACTCAATGTGTTGCATCTATGGAGGAGGAGATGCAGCTTTGTCACCCTGGCTAGGTCTGATAAAACTGATTGGGATTTCACTGCAGCAGAAGCATTGTGCTGTCCGCTCACACAAGACAGAAAATTATAAACTCGCTGGATTTCTAGATACATCAAAATTGCTTTTTTACTCCCGCTGCTGTCGGTCAAATCCTGTGAGGAAGGATCAGAAGAAGCGTGCCCTCATGGGTGCCCCTTAGCAGCCAGCTTAACAGGGGGGCACTCTGAGAAACAAGGAGCGGAGAGCGCTGGTGGGACAATGCCAAAGAGGAAGTATTGTATATTAAAAAAAAAAAAAAAAAAAAAAAAAAAAAAAAAAAGAAGAGAACCTTCTTTTTATGGTCTACATACACCTTAGAACTGCTAAAACATTGTGTTGTGTCAGGACACAAGCTCTTGTAATATGGCCACCACTCTCTATTGTTATACACCATAAACTCATTCCATTCCCTCTATAACTGACGACGTGATCGCTAAAAATCATTCTGCCTCATTTAAGACCCTAAAATCTATTACGTTATGGTACATTAATATCCAAGTATATTTAAAAACATTACATCCATATTACAGCTCTCACTCTCAATTAGTCACTAAAAACATATCCCATGTGCAATTAACACTGTATTTACCTATCAAATGGAATCTCATTAAAAAAATGCTCCTTTATCACCAGTTCCATAACAGTAATCAAAATATACTAGAACAAATATCACCTCAGAATCAACTGTATGTACACTTAAAATGTATATAAAGCCAAAAGCATGTGTTTTTGCTAGAGTACTGATTAATTAAAACCATGACTTTCTGTAATGGAAACAATGGTTACCATGTCAAAAAAGGACTTGAAAAAGCCAAAAAGTTTTGGCTTTACCTGGACAAAGATATTTTCTATTGCGGAGCACAGTTACACATTACAATCTTTAAATGATCAAGCTAAATAATGGAACCACAAGAAACCTATAAACACACACACACACACACACACACACACACACACACACACACACAAAAATACAAAAAATAAGTAGTACACTATTCAAATCACAAAAGCCCACAACAATGACATTAACGTGTTTATAAACACAAAAAAAATCATGTTACTTTAATGTCTATTAACCACTTGCCCTGCTGAGGATTTACCCCCCTTCCTGACCAGGCCATTTTTTGCATTACAGCACTGTGTTACATTATCTGACAATTGCACTGTCATGCAACGCTGAACCCAAATTATATTTAAGTACTTTATTCCCACTAATTGAGCTTTCTTTCGGTGGTATTTAATTGCCTGTGCAGTTTTTTTTTGCACTATAGAAAAGAAAAGAAAAAAAAAAAGACCGAAAATTCTGAGAAAAAAAACAATATTTTTCACTTTTTGCAATTAAACATGTCCAGTAAAAAATCAAATTTCATCGTAAATTTAGGCTAAAATGTATTCTGCTATATGTCTTTGCTAACAAAAAATCCCAATATAGTTAGGTCCATATATATTTGGACACAGGCACAATTTTAGTTTTTTTTCAGGTATTTACCAAAATATATTCAAGCTATAGTTATATAATGGAAATGGGCTGAAACTGCACACTCTCAGGTTTAATTTGGGGGTAAGTATATCCAATTTGGGGGAAGGGTTTAGGAACTACAGCTCTTAAGAGTAGCCATCCTCCCTTTTTCAAAGGACCAAACGAAATTAGAAAATTGAATCAAAAGCTGTTTCATGGCCAAGTGTAGGCTACTCCTTCGTTATTTCTTCATCAATTAAGCAGGTAAAAGGTGCATTCAATGGAACTGTCCATGCAAGTAAAATAGGCCATTGTAAGGCTTCAGAAACTAAACAAATACATCAGAGCGATAGCAGCAACATTAGGAGTGGCCAAATCAACAGTTTAGTAAATTCTGAGGAAAGAAGAATGCACCGGTGAGCTCAGCAACATAAAAAGGCATGGACGTCCACGGAAGACAACAGTGGTGGATGATCGCAGGATCCGCTCTATGGTAAAGAAAAACCCATTCACAACATCCAGACAAATGAAGGACACTCTCTAGGAGGTGGGCGTATCATTGTCAAAGTCTACAAACAAGAGAAAACTTCACGAGAGCAAATACAGAGGGTTCACCACAAGGTGCAAACCATTCATAAGCCTAGAATATAGATAAAAAAGGCAGATTAGACTTTGCCAAAAAAACATCTAAAAAAGCCAGACCGGTTCTGGAAAAGCATTCTTTGGGCAGATGAAACAAAGATTAATCTGTACCAGAATGACGAGAAGAAAAACTTGTGGAGAAGGCTTGGAACAGCTCATGATCCAAAGCACACAACGTCATCTGTAAAACATGGTGGAGGCAGTGTGATGGCATGAGCATGCATGATTTCCAGTGGCATTGGGTCATTGGTGTTTATTGATGATGTGACAGAAGCAGCCGGATGAATTCTGCAGTGCTTAGAGGTATACGGTCAGCCCAGATTCAGCCAAATGCAGCAAAGTTGATTGGACAGCACTTCACAGTACAGATGGACAATGATCCAAAACACACTGGAAAAGCAACTCAAGAGCTTTTGAAGGAAAAGAAATGGAATCACCTGATCTCAACCCAATTGAGCATGCATTTCACTTGGTGAAGGCAAAACTAAAGGCAGAAAGACCAACAAACAAAGAACAACTGAAGACAGCTGCAGTTAGAGCCTGGCAAAGCACCAGAAAGGTGGAAACCCAGTCTTTGGTAATGTCCATGGGTTCCAGACTTCAGGCAGTCATTGCCAGTAAAGGATTCTCAACAAAATATTACAAGTCAGCATTTTATTTATGATTATAATCATTTGTCCAATTACTTTTGGTCCCTTGAAAAAGGGGGGATGGCTACTCTTAAGAGCTGTAATTCCTAAACCATTCCCCCAATTTGGATGTACATACCCTCAAATTAAACCTGAGAGTGTGCACTTTCAGCACATATCCATTATATAACTATAGCTTGAATATGTTTTGGTAAATACCTGAACAAAACTAAAATTGAGTCTATGTCCAAATATATATGGACCTAACTGTATGTAAATTAATTGGTTTACGTGAACGTTATAGTGTTTACAAATGGCGGTGTATATATACTATGATTTTTTTTTTTTTCTTACTAGTAATGGCAACAATTAGCAACTTATAGCGGGACTGCAGCAGGCATTCTGACACTGGGAGGAACTGACTTGGTGTCACTGACATCCCCAGTGACACCAATACAGTGATCAATGCTAAAAAAAAAAAAAAAAAAAAAAAAAAAAAGCACTGACACTACTAATGGAACAAGGCAGGAAGGGGTTAACATGAGGGGCAATCAAAGTGTTAACTGTGTGCTGTTTCACTATGTGCTGTGTCCGTGTGCTTCACTGTAAGCACACTGCATTGCATGGCCATCCAAAGCAGTGTGCACGAGCTGACAGGGAGAACGGTTTTGTTTATTATTATTATTATACAGTATTTATATAGCGCCAAAGGGTATGCTTAGCGCTGTACAGTAGCAGGGGGAACAGTACATGAGACAAGACAGTAACAATACAATACACGAGGGGTTCGAGGGCCCTGCTCTTTCGAGCTTACAATCTAGGAGACTTACAAACAGTTCTCCTCCCTGTTGGAGACGCTTGGCAATCATCGGCCGGGACCTGGTGATTGACAGCCGAGGCTGCAAACGGCGGCGCAGGTAAGGTGCACGCGCACCCCCTACCTGGAAATGTAATATCACGCATTTCTGCTATAGGGTGGTAGGGAAGCGGTTAATGTGTTTTTTAATGTTACTATTTTATTTGTGCCTGCTGGTGTTGTGCAATACCTGGTTGATCCTGCCTGTGCTGCTCCTCCTGAGAGTATACTGACCACTATAACCATGGAAGCTGATCCTTGCTTTGAGTGGTCAGTTTAGGTCTTGTGTCATCTCGCTGTTTGTACGGGTACACTGTGCAAGAGCACAGCATATCTGTACCTTCCGTAGTCAGTAAAAAGCTGGCCCATCCATCCTGGCTTGAGTTTGGTGGATTCCCTTTCAGCCGCTTCTCCCCTCCTGTGTAGCTGCTGGTCTACTTTTGTTTCATTGTCTTTAAAATGCAGGCATTCGGCAGCTAACATTATTCCTTCTAGTGATGTAGTGTAATGATGTCATAAGAAACCTAGATGTAATATTTTGATAGCTTTACTTATTTATAAAAAAAAAATAAAAGTGTTCAACACTACTGAAGTTTACAGCTGCTTTAACCACCAGCCCACCCAAACAAATTAAAAATAAAGTAAAACAAATCCTGTCAGTGGGAAGGTGAGACTTACCTTCCTTGGTCAAGTATAACTCCTTAAACTTAGCTCTCTTCTGATTAAATTCTTGCTCCAGTTGCTGCTTGGTCCTAAGAAGTTCTGCATTTATTTTTTCCAGTTCTTCCACTCTTTTCTCAACAGCAGCTGTTAGGTGGAAGAAAGAATAATTTAATATATTTGCTACATTGATTCTCAAAAAATACCCATTACTTTAAAGAGAGAGGAGTATGCCTGAGGGACATGTCAGGAATGCAGAAGAAAAGAAGTTGTCACCAAAGCTAGGCTAAAAAAAAGGGAGTATTAGAGTTTCAGGCTTTCATGTTCTTGCTTACTCTAAACAACAATTTTTTGCTATGAATCCTATAATCCCATTCAGAATATTCTTTATAAAAGTCAAAACTTAAAGTGTTACTAAACCCAGGACCCTGCATTCACTATATTTGGTCTCCCCAGTACACAGAACTTAGAAAAGCAATTATTTTAGTAAATATGAACTGCTAAATACCTTCTCATCAGCAGTGTATAGCAGTCTATCAGTATCCAACTGAGCACTGGTTAAAGCTTGTAGGAGGAGCTTTCATTCTGCTCTAGCTGTCCTATGAGGCTGCATGATCCCTGACCCTCTGTCTGGGCAGTGCTGATTGGACCTGTGCCGATCACATGCACCCTCCCCCGAAAAAATAAAAATAAAAACACTCTAGCAATACACAACAAAATGAGCATGTGCTGAGTTGCTCCTAGGGTTCTGTACTATCAGCTGATGGATTGGGGACTGTGAAGGAAGGGGAGGGTCAGAGAAGACAGGATCAAACAGCCTTTCTACACAATTCGGAGGATTAACCCCTTAGATTCCACAGTGAGAAAAAAAAGTTGCTGTCTGTCTGTACTATGGATAGCCAATGCAGATTTCAGCATATACTAGCAGATGTAATGTTACATACAGTAACAAAGTCCCACTGTTGAAAAAAAGACGTGCTGAAGAGGTTACAATTTGCCAAAGAGTACATTGACTGGCCTAAAGAGAAATGGCGGAACATTTTGTGGACTGATGAAAGTAAGATTGTTCTTTTTGGGTCTAGTGGCCAGAGACAGTTTGTCAGACGACCCCCAGACACTGAATTCAAGCCACAGTACACTGTGAAGACAGTGAAGCATGGTTGTGCAAGCATCATGATATGGGGATGTTTCTCATACTACGGTGTTGGGCCTATTTATCGCATACCAGGGATCATGGATCAGTTTGAATACATCAGAATACTTGAAGAGGTCATGCTGCCTTATGTTGAAGAGGAAATGCCCTTGAAAGTGGGCCACTTTGGAAGAAAAGGAATTGTCTTGGGCCACAAATAAAATACACAAACAATAAGGATAGCTCATGAGCAGAAAAGGTGGGGAAGATCTCAAGTTAATGATCACAGATATACATAATGTACCCATTTATAAAATTATTTTAAATTTTTTTTTCTATTATAAAAGTAAAAGAGGGCAACAAACTAGTGCAATATTGGATACTGTTTTTGATAAATTAACACATCAATATCTGGTTTAATGGATGGAGCAGCAATTCCCAATAAATTCTCAAGGTGCTCATGAGATATTTTGGTTCCAATTTTACCCTTTGTGTAGATCATCCTTGAAAATAGCTGCTCACAAATATAGGCGCCATTGAAAAAACTGATGACATGGGTGAGGAGTGATTGTGTAGAGTGGAATATTTTTCTTTGTGAAGATAAAACTTACAAAAGTCCAGTAAAAGGACACAGTGAACACATGGACTACGAAATACCATATTTTTTCACTCCATAAGACGCACCTGACCATAAGATGAACCTAGGTTTTAGAGGAGGAAAACAAGAAATATTCTGGACCAGAGACTGCGGGCACCATACAGGAGATGACCAGAGACTGCGGGCACCGTACAGGAGATGACCAGAGACTGCGGGCACCGTACAGGAGATGACCAGAGACTGCGGACACCGTACAGGAGATGACCAGAGACTGCGGACACCGTACAGGAGATGACCAGAGACTGCGGACACCGTACAGGAGATGACCAGAGACTGCGGACACCGTACAGGAGATGACCAGAGACTGCGGACACCGTACAGGAGATGACCAGAGACTGCGGACACGTACAGGAGATGACCAGAGACTGCGGACACCGTACAGGAGATGACCAGAGACTGCGGACACCGTACAGGAGATGACCAGACTGCGGACACCGTACAGGAGATGACCAGAGACTGCGGACACCGTACAGGAGATGACCAGGAGACTGCGGACACCGTACAGGAGATGACCAGAGACTGCGGACACAGTACAGGAGATGACCAGAGACTGCGGACACAGTACAGGAGATGACCAGAGACTGCGGACACCGTACAGGAGATGACCAGAGACTGCGGACACCGTACAGGAGATGACCAGAGACTGCGGACACCGTACAGGAGATGACCAGAGACTGCGGACACCGTACAGGAGATGACCAGAGACTGCGGACACAGTACAGGAGATGACCAGAGACTGCGGACACAGTACAGGAGATGACCAGAGACTGCGGACACAGTACAGGAGATGACCAGAGACTGCGGACACAGTACAGGAGATGACCAGAGACTGCGGACACAGTACAGGAGATGACCAGAGACTGCGGACACAGTACAGGAGATGACCAGAGACTGCGGACACAGTACAGGAGATGACCAGAGACTGCGGACACAGTACAGGAGATGACCAGAGACTGCGGACACAGTACAGGAGATGACCAGAGACTGCGGACACAGTACAGGAGATGACCAGAGACTGCGGACACAGTACAGGAGATGACCAGAGACTGCGGACACAGTACAGGAGATGACCAGAGACTGCGGACACAGTACAGGAGATGACCAGAGACTGCGGACACAGTACAGGAGATGACCAGAGACTGCGGACACAGTACAGGAGATGACCAGAGACTGCGGACACAGTACAGGAGATGACCAGAGACTGCGGACACAGTACAGGAGATGACCAGAGACTGCGGACACAGTACAGGAGATGACCAGAGACTGCGGACACAGTACAGGAGATGACCAGAGACTGCGGACACAGTACAGGAGATGACCAGAGACTGCGGACACAGTACAGGAGATGACCAGAGACTGCGGACACAGTACAGGAGATGACCAGAGACTGCGGACACAGTACAGGAGATGACCAGAGACTGCGGACACAGTACAGGAGATGACCAGAGACTGCGGACACAGTACAGGAGATGACCAGAGACTACGGACACAGTACAGGAGATGACCAGAGACTGCGGACACAGTACAGGAGATGACCAGAGACTGCGGACACAGTACAGGAGATGACCAGAGACTGCGGACACAGTACAGGAGATGACCAGAGACTGCGGACACAGTACAGGAGATGACCAGAGACTGCGGACACAGTACAGGAGATGACCAGAGACTGCGGACACAGTACAGGAGATGACCAGAGACTGCGGACACAGTACAGGAGATGACCAGAGACTGCGGACACAGTACAGGAGATGACCAGAGACTGCGGACACAGTACAGGGGATGACCAGAGACTGCGGACACAGTACAGGGGATGACCAGAGACTGCGGACACAGTACAGGGGATGACCAGAGACTGCGGACACCGTACAGGGGATGACCAGAGACTGCGGACACCGTACAGGAGATGACCAGAGACTGCGGACACAGTACAGGAGATGACCAGAGACTGCGGACACAGTACAGGAGATGACCAGAGACTGCGGACACAGTACAGGAGATGACCAGAGACTGCGGACACAGTACAGGAGATGACCAGAGACTGCGGACACAGTACAGGAGATGACCAGAGACTGGGGACACAGTACAGGAGATGACCAGAGACTGCGGACACAGTACAGGAGATGACCAGAGACTGCGGACACAGTACAGGAGATGACCAGAGACTGCGGACACAGTACAGGAGATGACCAGAGACTGCGGACACAGTACAGGAGATGACCAGAGACTGCGGACACAGTACAGGAGATGACCAGAGACTGCGGACACAGTACAGGAGATGACCAGAGACTGCGGACACAGTACAGGAGATGACCAGAGACTGCGGACACCGTACAGGAGATGACCAGAGACTGCAGACACCGTACAGGAGATGACCAGAGACTGCGGACACCGTACAGGAGATGACCAGAGACTGCGGACACCGTACAGGAGATGACCAGAGACTGCAGACACCGTACAGGAGATGACCAGAGACTGCAGACACCGTACAGGAGATGACCAGAGACTGTGGACACCGTACAGGAGATGACCAGAGACTGCGGACACAGTACAGGAGATGACCAGAGACTGCGGACATAGTACAGGAGACGCTGGTAGGTTAATTGGCTCCTGTCTAAATTGTCCCTAGTATGTGTATGTATGAATGTGAGTTAGGGACCTTAGACTGTACACCCCTTGAGGGTTAGGGACTGATGTGAATGTACAATATATATGTAAAGCACTGCATAAATTGACGGCGCTAAGTACCTAAAATGAATAAAATAAATCACGCATTAAATATGTGATAAAAATTATAGAACCTAATAATACTAGAAAACATTATCAGTGCTGAAAAACCTGCTCTAAAATCTTTTACCAAAAAATCCCATGATCCACACTACATGTATCTCGGGCAATTTGAAGTTATTTGCTATGCTCTGTAGTTTTACCTTCTGTCCATGTCATATTTTTGACAGCAGTCAGAAGACAGGACAATGATTTCCTTCCTCTATGACTGCTGACTACTGAAAATCGCAGTAGACTTTTTATTTTTTATGTAAAACATGCTATCTTATGAATGAGCAAAAGTGTATTTAGGCGTTTATAAATTGTGAAACCCGTGTATGAAAGAGGATGGTCCTGCAACCTGAACTGTGCAGAGAACAGGAATGAAGTGTCACACGAAATTCCAGTTACAATTAGTGTAGGCTTCATGGTAATATTTTCCTCCACAACAACAAAGGAATGCAGAACATAACCAGCCATTTGTGAAATGTCACCTGACCGAATAACCATCCAGGTAAATTCTGCTCTCCCAGGAAATGAAGCTGGCCCTCAGTTCTAATCATCTAGACACTGGCTATATTTCAAGACTCTCAA